CACGCTTAGCAACACAATTCAAGCTGACATTTAACATACATGTGAAAGTTCAAGAGGAAAAAAAAGATATATTAATCTTATATAACAATTTTGAAAGACCACAGACCCACAGCAATAACTACACCAAACCCCTCTATTAGATTAAATGAAAAAATTGGTCATCTTTACTGCTATCTTTTTCCATTTTGCTTAATTGTATCTTTTGGAAAAGTTAGACTAGGAATTCATAGGACAGCACTGTTCATTTGTATAAAAAGTGGAAAGCACTGATTCAGAAAGAAAAATGAAAAGCATTTTTCCCGTTAACGTTAAGGCTGAAGCTATAAAACAAAGATGGATAATTTAATTTTTAACAAAAACCTAAAGGTTAAAAAAACAGCAAAGTCCAGGCATCACACATTCTCTAGACAAGAAAATCCCTTTTAAATACAGCAGAAAAAGAGGAAAGGTCAGGCATGAAAACACTCCCACATCTCTTTCCTTCAGTAATTTCTTCTGTAAAAAATACTGGAAGCAGCATACAACTTTGAGAAAACAGCTTGACTTCTTAAAGAAAAACAACCCCACACCCCCAAAAAGCTTTTAGGAATGAAAACTACAACATCAACTCGGCTGGTGTGCTGCACTAGCTATAAACCTTACATGGCTGCAACAGAACTCGAACCAGCACAGTTCTGCTTTTCCAGGCAGCCTCTTACCACATCCTGGCAGAAGAACAACCTTGCCAGTGTAACAGTGTCCGTACCAGGGGAACGCGCCAGAGCAGTTCGGCACATTGTAAATCAGACCCCACTACAATCTAGACAGACCTATGCCAGAAATCTTTTGCACTGCAACCCCAGCCAGCCTGACAACCCACACAGCACAGCAAGCTGTAGTCCATCGGGCTGATTTTTTCTTAAAAGGTATGTGGGTGGGCTCCACCAGCCATGCCTTTCTATAAACCCTCACATCTTAACACTGTCAATCTTCAGACAACTGCTTCTCTCCATCACAGGATTGTATTTTCATTTGACCTGATCTCTAAGAAGTTCTTTATTTCATCCTTATCATGGTAAAACAGTTTTCCTCCCTGATAAATAAAAGCACACATTTTTCACATATGCAAACACAAATTCATTAATATTCCTCCATTAAACCCCAGCATTCAATTCATACAAATTAACCAAACCCCTGCCAGTTACCTATTTTGTTCGTTTTTTAGAAGTACCCTTCACTTATTAGAAACATTCATAGACTGCATGGAATTACATGATTTATACTCTTAATGTCGCCTAAAACCATGCTATTTAAATGACAGGAGATAGAGACAAGAGATAGGATAACAGTTCAAAGAAGGAAGCTAGGATTACTACTGTTAAGAGTACTTCTCAAAGCAAACTAGGATAGACAAGACAGATAAGGAAAAAAAAGGAAAGAGGAACATAAAAATGAATCCTTTAAAAGCTACAGGTGGGAGCAAAGCACAGAAGGTCCCCGAAGAGACCTACTCCTCAGTCTGATCAGGTAGCGTATGTTGTCCTACGGCTTTTTGAGTGGGCACTGTTTCAGTCATGTTAGTGGCCTTTGTATGAAAAGCCCAGTGTCTCCCACAGGCTCTGATTCAGCAAAAAAAATTAGTCATAGCTTGATTCCAGTGCCATCGATGAAACCAAACTGCACACACGGTTCACGTATTCTGCGAGTAATATGAACAGTAAGGCAGGGAGCAGGAAATCAATAGGATAGAAAAAAGCAGTGTAAAAAGAAGGTAAAGCTGTAAGTTTGGTGGAACAAAAGCTGCATTTAAGCGGGCCAAAAACTACACAGAGCGGGAATGTAGGCAGGACATTGTTACCGCCCTGAAGATAATGGTGAAATGACACGGGGCAATGACAGCACTGCAGATTTCAGCAGCGTAACAAAAGAAAGACAAATCCTACCTTGTTGAAAGAGCTTTACCAGCTACCTTAATGTATGTATTTATACGAGACTGAACTAAAATTAAAAGTTAAAAAAAAAAAGTGAATAGAAGTTAATTTGCTTTCATGTGATAAACACAGTTTCAAAAGCAACAGAATTTTGCTCTAAGAGAAATCTCAATCCTTTTCAGCTGGAGACTGATAAATCCCCAAAAGAAGAAAGTCCCAAAAGCAGAGATAAAATAAAGCTGTCACACAGTCGTAGAAACGACTTCATATTTTTAGTATCTCCATTCATAACAAAACTATTTTCCACATTTCACCGAACAAATCACATTTACACGTGAATTCATCTTATTGGTTAAGAACTAATACTACCTGTCAGTACTTGCACAATATATGCTTAATTCCAGAACAGGAAAAATTGCTACAGTATAAAGCATACTTTTATCTCTGAAATTGTTAAAGAACCTACAGATAATAGCAAAGGAAAAAAATCTAGAATATAATTTTATTTTATTTTTTAATCTGGCAAGATTAACTAATTAGCACCCACCTGGCCTAGAAAAAAAAAAGTGTCAGTACTGTGACTTTTAACTTTTTGCTTACAGACAAATCAACCAACAGAACCCCTTACCGTACCAAAGCATACATGTATTGTACAAGCAGGCACTTAAATCAGCTCCCAAAGTCTTAAGGAGCTATTTAAATCTTACCTTCTGCATTACAGATATGGACAAAACAAATACATTTAATTTCCTTCAAGCAATAATGAAGAAATTCTATGGCCAGATTACAATAAAAGAATATTTCTTTCTAGGCAGCTACCTATTATGCTTAACAAGCTTAAAACAAAATGAGTCAAAGATCAAGAGTAAGTTATCTGAGGTGTCAAGTGCATAACGTTAAAGGTGAAATTTTATTAGGTCAAAGGTGACATAAATAAAATCTTTTATGTCAAAGAAGAAGGGTCACAGACAAGACGTATATAATCGAAAGACATCACAGATGACAAGCAATAACTTTAAGTACAAGTGTGTTCTCACTACAGATATCTTCACTGATTAAAAAACTGAAAACAGTGATGAATAACTAACCAAATATATTACAGTGCTTCACTGGACTGCAGTTTTACTTCTACATGATACTCTTGAAATTTGTTTTAATGTACTTCAAAACTTACATAAAGTTACTGAGTGCTTTTACTTGTGGAGGAGACAAAGTCTGATATTAACTGCACGTGCTGAATAAAAAGGTACACAAAGCAGATTGCTCTGAGAAATAAAATAGCTTTTCTACTACTTTACAGTAACCAAACCTCTAGCATGCATGTCTTACTTCTGTTCCTTGAAAAGAGAAAACTGGGGTGGGCGTCAGGCCAGGGAAATGTCAGATTACAATACAGTTCAGAATTGTATACTCAGACAATTTAAAACACAGATACAAATTAAAATATACATACATACACACACACATATATATACACAAAAGAATGGAAGTATTGTTATGTTGCCAGTATGTCAAATACTACACACCAACTAGATTAAGGCTATTTAAAATCTGCTTCTGTAATTGTCAGACTGTTCATTCAGTTAAACCGTTCTCTCCTTTTACTCCTGCACTAAGAACTCATTCGAAAAGTCTCATATGCTGAACCTTCATCTTGATCTCAAGCTCACATTGCTGAAAAAGCAGCGGATTTAAGCATATGGTGTTGGACACGACAAAAACCGAGATATCTGTGCCCTCTAGTGGAATTTCTTTTTTCACCAACTGGGACAAATGCAGCTGTTATAAGATGATCCCTGTTTCTAGAAGACAGAAGTGTTAAGCTGCCAAATCTAATCTTGCAAATTGCATATAACTACCCTCAGAACAAAGAAAAAGTTCGCCTTTTTCTTCCATATTCATCTGAGGCAGTGGAACAGTAAGAACCACTCAGAAGTGGTTAGCTAGATACAAATAAAGACTAGGTAGCTGCATGAAACCTCAGTGTTACCAATTGTCCACTCCTTGGTGCATGCATAGACATGAAAGAATTCTGGGAAATCTCACAGCTTACATTTATTTCTAGGAAGCTAGATGCAGTATGAAGGCTTCTCCCTTACATCCAACTAGATAAACCCAGTACCTAAAATCAAATTCAAAACAAAAGAAATTCCACTAACCACTCTAAAAGAGCAGAAAAACAGAGAAGTATGTACTTTCACTGAAGTTAGGAAGGGGTAGGCAAAATGGCAACTCCACAGAGGCTTTCAATTTTTCCAGTGATAACTGCCCCTAGGGATTTCAGTACCTCAGTGATTTAACTTTCCAAAGCTTTTTGAAAAAGAAAAGAAGGTACTTGTGGCAGTGATGAGCTGTAAAGAGAATATTTCTCTAGGAAAATAGTAACAAGAACCGTGCAGGAAAGAACAAGACAGCAAGTACTTTAAGTACTGAGCAGTAATATCTGAATGGTTGGAAACCTGCTGCAAAAAGACAGTGCGAGATTCTTTACTTCCTCCTCAAAAGCTATTTGGAAGAAGCAAAAGATAAAGGGAAAGGAATAGCTATGGGATTGTCCAAGATGCTAACAAGTTAGACGTGGCCAAGGTGAGATAATAAATAATAGCATTTGAGTTTAAAGGAGACTTCTATTTGTTCTAGTACCTGGAAGGTTCATCCTCATGGATAAGCTATTTTACAGCTTTACTGAAGTGGGTTTTATTTAAAAGCAGTGAAGAATATTTACTATTTGGAAAGGTATAAAATGAATGAAAATAAAGACCACTCATGGAACATAACACATCAGACTTTTATGACAAAAAGATAAATACAGTGATATGAAAAATAGCTTTGGATTAGTAGTAGAGCAATTAGTCACAGTTTTATACACAGTCTATTTCAAACAGAAATTGCCTTTAGTATTTGAATCCACTGTTTGTTTCATTCATTTTCATTAGTATACTATACCCAAAAAGGCACTGTTAAACCCATGCTAACACAAACAGTTCCATTCCTTCATAAGAATTTTAAAGACTTTCTTAGGCTACTCAGCTGGACGGTATTATAAAACCAGAAGGAAATTGAAATAGTAAAAGTTATTACACAACATACCACTTCTTCATCTGAAAGCTCCCGTCCTTGTATGCTACTGTTTTCTCTCACAGCTTGTTGGTGTTTTTTCCCTTTAATGTGGCTAAATAGGTATACTTCCGATGAAATCTGTAATGACAATGAATTATTAGTGACTTTTCTCCTCCCTTGATAATACTATCATCTATAAATAGCAGTATTTTACATGTAATATATACTAATTTGTCAGAAGTAGGTTCAGAATCTGCCACCTAATGGAAGTACTATCAGTTACCTTTAACATCTTTACAATTGTATTTATTTATTTTACTAAAAAGAATGTTTTTTATTTTGTCACATAGAATTTCATCACAAATGTGTTAGAACTACCAGGTTAACTATATATTGCTCTCTACAACTACCTCAAAGAAGGTGGTAGCAAGTTGTGGGTCCAGTCTCTTCTTCCAAGCAACAAGCAGTAGGACAAGAGAAAAAGGCCTCAAGTTGGGCCAGGGGAGGTTTAGGTTGGATATTACGAAAACTTTCTTCACTGAAAGGGTTGTGAAGCATTGGAACAGGCTGCCCAGGGATGTGGTTGAGTCACTATCCCTGCAGGTCTTCAAAAAATGTGTAGATGTAAAGCTTAGTGACATGGTTTCATGGTGGACTCGGCAGTGCTAGGTTAATGGTTGGACTGGATGATCTTAGGAGGTCTTTTCTAAACTCAATGACTCTATGATCCTGTACAATTGTTAACTGTTATTGAAGGTCACCTGAAAACACTTAACTGACAAGAGAGCAATAAACACCCTGTCACCAGTAGCAAGTTAAGGGAGCAAACTATGTTGATAAGGAAAAAATGATGCATTTTTTCATTTCTGAAGAACTATTTTAAGGTTATTTCAGCACACCATTTTCACTGTGTTCTCATTAAGAACACAAACTGTCTAGACTTCTTCACAGCAATTAATTCCTACTCAAAGGCTGGCATAGCTGCCTATGTATTAACCCACAGGTTTTGTTTTAACGTAAGATGTGATACAAATGCTGCAGCTTAAATGGTGATACCAGCAACAAATTGGCATAAAGATGAAGCACATAGACAGGATTTCAAAAATCCATAAAAGCAATATAAACAGTGCTTTTTCTTTTTTTTCTTCCTTTTTTTTTTTTTTAGTGCACAGATGAATCAAAAATACAGTAGAACAAACACCACTAAGATTCAAACATGGCTCTGTATCTCAACTTTAGCAAAATCACACTGTTTTTCTTGTAAATATACACAAGTAAAGTTCTTTGTAATGGATTTCTATATTCTGAGAGATGGGGGTGTTAACCGTGTCTATTTAAAAACATCTATCCTAGACTTTGTGATCTCTCTGATGAATAACCCAGAGAACTACTATATTTTATGTTGTTCATGGCCTGATTATGGCTAAACTTTACAAGTTCCAATTACAAAACCTGTTTTAGAATAATTACATCAGTAAATTAAGTAATTGTTGAAAAACAATCAAATAGAAATAAAAAAAAAAACAAACAACCCGAAGCAGCACATTCTACTTCATGTAACCATGAAGAATTCCAGCTGATTGCCAATGGAGTAGACTTCCGGGTTTTCAGAGCTCAAGCACAGAACTTTATCCCTCAGCCTAATTCACATAAACATCTTTATTTTAAATTACATAATGATTTGACAGCCAATTTGCAGTATAGTAAGAGACTTTAAAAAAAAAAGCCTCCTTGGCTTCTCATCTCATTTTGACTTCTATTTGACTTCATACAATGAGCTTTCATTCGGAAAGGCATGCTAAGTGAATGTACAAGACTCCACTCTGCTGAACCCTCAGTTTCTGTTCCAGCACTGCCTGAAGTGATCCTGTGTAATCTTAATTAATGTAGCAATTAAAGAGAAATAATGCTTATATAATTTCCTAGCTAAGACCTAAGATTTTGTTCAATAATGCCTGGCCTATGCAAGTCAGTAAAAACAATTATCAACATGAACTGATCTCCCTCCTTCCTACTCAGTGACTGCACGTCTCCCTCTCTTCACCGTGCCAGGAGCACAAGAAGAGACACCCAGTTGAGACCAAACATCTCAAGAAAGGTCTGCCAAGCAAAGTACCTGGTTTCTATAACTTGCTTTATGTCTAGCTTTTAACCAGCTTCATTTGATGATCCCTAATTTTTGCTTTTCTTAGAAAAGAGAGCTAGCAACTGTGTACTGTCCACACTTTTCTTCCTGTGATTCTACAATTATTTCAAATCTTCCCTAAACCACATAATTTATAGACAGAAGAATCCAAGCTAAGATGCAGTTTCTCAAGAGCAGAGCAAGGACACAGCACTTATGCAGTACTCTCATCTGAATGAAGCATAATTTGTAGCTCCAAGGCTTAGGCTAGTCTTGCAATTCTGAGAGCAACCCCTCTGTTCAACTTACCATTACACTGCATAATGAGCACTGTTTTTTTCGTTCATATGGTGTAAGTTTAGGAGCATAATCAGTATTAGCATGTCTTCCACTGCTTAATTCAGCTGCTTTCTCTTTTCTTTGTTCAATTTGTTCCATGTGTCTTCTAATACTTTCATCATGCTGAATGCAAAGTAACAAAAGCAAAGAAAAAAATGGTATGAAACAAAAGGTATTAAGCTGTCCATAGAAATACTGTGAGTTACCAGTTGGGGTTAGGCATTAAGTCATCACACATCAGAGATTTAACATTCTGCTACGATTTAAAAATCAATCAGCACTATTTTTGTTTTATAGGTGATTATCAATTCATAAATTCATAATCTGACAATTTCATTGAACTTCATAGAAATTCGCCTATTTCAAACTCTTTGGTAAATCTTTTTTGTTATATGTAACATCTCACTTATTCTGTTTTTATTCTCAATTGAACACTCCAGAAGTGCACCTATCAAGGTACAGCTCCCTGGATTCTTTCAGGAGGCTCATACACTTAACCCTCAAGAGAACGGAGCAAATTTTTAACTATTATTTAAGATCAGAGACTGGGGCATAAGCCTGTATTTAATGTCAAAACTGCATTTTACAACAGAAGTAAATGTACCTAAGATCATAAGAACAGGATCAGAGGTAATAAAAATATTAAAGTGAAAAAAATACTTGTACACAAACAATTCTAGAATAAAAATTTAGATAACTTAACAAAACGTGAGACTTCAATATGTAGCTCTACCTCAGAACCTTACAAATACGATTTATCATTTCAGAAATGTTTACTTTTCTCAAAAATAGTGGATCATTTCAAAATTTATGATACCTTTGTTCCCCACAGCTGAATGCCTGACCTACAAGGCCTTATGCCTCTTTCATGAAACCACTGTAGCCCTCCATGGAAGATGCCACGCTCTTGATGGCATCAGTTTCAGTACCATTAGACAGGACCTTGCATGACTGACTGGCAAGTCTTCACTGAACAGTGTGAGAGTTCCTAATTACTAATTTCCCTCACGATTTAACTCAAAATTACGTGTACTTTCCAAGGGAAGTTGAAGTTTATTTGTTCTCACATTTAAAGCTCTGAAATTAATGTAATTCAACAGAGCTCAGTCCTGTTCTTTCCAAATTACACAGTGCACATTATACAGCAAGGTCCTGTTTTTAAGCAAAAGTATGAATAAAAATCTATTGTAAAGTTATGTAATTTGGGACACAGAATACTGTAACATCTGTACTAAATAAAACATACATACATAAACTATTTTACAGAAATTCTACATTATTGATTTATTTTTCAAGTGTAGTATGTTTTTATACCTTCAGCTGAATCTTCTTCTGCAGTTCTTCCATGGCTTCTTGTTGAGCTGCAGTAAGAGCTGCCAACCTCTCTTCTCGATCTCTAACCAAAAGATAACAAATATAGGGGGAACATTTTAGTAATATAAAACATGCATTAATATTGACAAGTTAATGTTTGAAACGGAGAACAAACGTCCCAAAAAAATGAACCTGAAGGTGGCTTAGTGGAAAAGACAGAACAGAAAGCACTTTAGTTAACACAGAATACAGATGCTTTATTTTTGATAATTTAATAAAAGCAGGCACTTGAACCTTTGCAGCAGTACCTGTGAACATGCTTTAGAGAAACCAAGAACAATGGGAGTTAACGTAAGACTGCAAAATAATCTTGAATGTTGTGCCCTGCCACCATTAGTATTCTGCAGTCAATGACCGTTTCCAGTGAACTAAAGGGGAGGAGTACAATGGCAAATCAAAGAAAAACATGCAGCAGTAAGGGCAGTGTATTTTGTAAAAATTATGATCACTGAATGTTTGAATATATAAACATACAGAGAAAACTTTGACCAACACCAAATGATACCAGGTATCAATAAGATTGATACCTAAATTGATGCTCTAAAACATTGCATTTCCAAATGTTCTAGATACCTAAGGATAGCAAATCATACTGTTATCTTCTGTACAAAACTGAAGAGTCAGGAACTGGTTTTGTTCACCGTACCTCTCTGCACTACATCCCCATCCCCAAAACCGAATCATGCCTCAAACATCAGTTTTCCACTTCTAGGAATCCTCCTTCCCATCACCAGCAAAGCGCCAACACAAAATATAAAAGCCAACAGGAAAGACGACAGGGAAGGAAACAAGTTTAACTATATATAAACACTAGGCAAACTCTTCCAAATACCACGGTTGTTGGGGGTGGGTAGGGGGGAGAGGAGATGACAGATGTGAAGCATTGTGTACTTTGTCTAATCTCCCAAGGAACGCACAGAAAAACTGAACTACAGTCTTTGATTTTGCCTTTAAAGAACTACTCCCTCACACCGTGAGCTAAAACAAATCATAACTAACATGATCCAAACCCAAAGCCTATTTTAGTTATTTCTTTCAGTATACATTTTAAAATACTTGTTTAATCCTACAAACTATGACAAATTAATGACATTAATCCAAAGCATGCAATGATATTTGAAACAAAATTCTCAAGTTTCCATTTATAGAGCATCAATATTATTCTTGCCCAGGCCCTTCTGAAACACATACTTAGCACGATTAGCTTACATTTTACACTTTTATGATTTCTATTGACAAGAAAAAAAAAATCTGTGTTAGGGATTTCAATTCTCTGGAATATAAAACACTCAAAAATTACATCTAAAACCTTACTGGAATCAAGTTAATGTACCATAAGAGCAGAGGGGTTTTAAAGTCAGTTTTAAATAAACTAACCCTTTCATACACATGCTTTAATCACCACCAGATGCACATTTATATAAAGCTTATACTGAACAAACTTTAAGCAGATATTTCAAAAATGACTCACTGAAGCAAGTATCAAATCTTTGGGATAAGAGTCAAATCTCAGCAGAAGGAAAAATGAACAAAAAAACAAACAAATAATACTTGCTGAGGTTTCAACAAACTATGTTGAAGACAAAGACAGAAGGGACAGTACAGACAGCTTCCTTTCAAGATCATCTTCTCACTCAACTTCTGAACCACTGCACTTTGACTCCTGCTCTAACAGTACCACATCAGAGAAATCTCGGGACTGTTATTAAGGAGACATAAGACTCTGAGGCCACTCTGAGGTACCAGAATCACCGGATTATAAGGCACCATACACACATCCTTTCCTATTCTTTCCCAGAAATTGAAAAAAGAAATAAAGGAAAGAGAAAGAACACTATATAATCAGCATCTGGCAAAGAAAAACAACTGCAAGCACAGTACTGCAGTAGCAAATACAAAGCAACTGAAAACTAGGTGCCACAGAGCACACACAGCCCAGTGCCACCCCCTAAACCCAACAATCCATATGCTTCATTCTCTGTGCACCTAGCATTCAGCTCAACTAAAACAGAGAGAAGAGCCCATATGGAAACCCCTTTGTGAACTTCTGATTATGGGCATAAACATAAAGCAAGTAGTTCATAGGCAGCAGAATTAATGAAGCCTGATTTCCCGGCTTTATGCTTTACAAACGTGGCCTCTGGTGTCTACAGAAAAGGTGAACTCATATTGATGCCAGTAAGTCCAAAAGTTACTGAAGAATGGAGGAAATGGGGAACATGAAAACATTAATCTTGCTTCCTTTGAAAACTAAACTAAAATATGAAAAAGGCAAATTGTTAAAAGGTCTTGTTAGCAATAAAACTAAGATGAAGTAATGTTAACAATATAAAATATAGCATAGGATGTTATATTGCGTATGTACCTAAGGAATACAAAAATCTATTACAAAATTTATGAATACTCACTTGATTTCTTCTTTCTAACTATTCATCAAAAACATCTATTAACGTTACTTTTTAAAATACTATGCCTGTAGGCTGAAGAAGGCACTGTTGTTAATATAGAGAACCTGCAGTCTGCCTGAAAGAGTAGCAGTGAAGGACAGGGACCCAACAAAATTATGGCAAAGTTACCTTGCTCTTTCCCGTGCTGCATCTTCCCGTGCTTTTTCTTTCTCTTGCCTCTGCTGCTCAATCCGTGCTTCTTGTTCTTTCCTCTTCATCAGCAGCTCTTCAACTCGGGCCTGCCGTTCTGCTTCCAGGGCTCTTTTGCGCTCCTGGTTGAAGAAAAATAAATTCTAACTTATCTTTTGCAAATATAAGTATATTCACAAGTTTGAACATACACTGAAGCACAGTTGCATGAACTAAGCTACATATTAACTGGCCATATATTTTGCTCAGACTGAAGATGACTGTCCACTAGAAGTCCACCAAACTGATCAATGAGAATATCTGAAAAATATTTTGAACATCTACAAGGACATATGTGACACAGAAACAAAATATGCTCCCATAGAATATTAATACTTAAATCATGACTATTAAACAATGATTTAAATATTATTCAAATGTTGTTATAAAATAAAATGGATTTTTGCAGTATATTTTTGTTCTATCATTGAACATGCAATTCTCCCACTGCTCAATTTTTACTTTTTTCCAGACTTAGAGTTCTGAAGTCATGCATGGTATTGTGAACCCGACAGAATGACAATTTGAAACAGCAACAAATGTAAAAAAAAAGAAAAAAAAAGTACATTTGAAAACTCATACTCTAAGACATTTATGAGTAGGCATATTGAGTTAGTTGAGTGCTACTGAAAGGAAATACGACTACTTGAGTTAGCTGAACAGTCTGGAGAGAGATGAATATTTTACATGTTATTCAAATTCTCATCTTACAGTAAAATTAGTCTTTTGTATGACAGATTAAATAAAAAACAGACACTTCAATCTATTTTAAATATATACTTCTTGCATCATCTCCAGCACTGTAAATACTCATCACTGTTCCAGCAAAAAGCTATCTTCCTTTAAGGCAACAGTATGAGGTTTCATTAACACAAAGCAAAATTTGCTGGAATGATAAATGCTTTTACATGATTAGATGAGGGCCCTGTACTCTTTAAATATTAGCTTTACAAAAATTTAGACATAAAAAGAAGAATACATTAACCTTATATTTCATTTTCGTCAAGAAATGAAGAACTACAAAAATAATTGAACATTTTTGTGTCATGCAAAGCATTTTATGTTAACGATGCTAACTGCACAGTATTGATTTTCACAGGCAGTACAGCTTGAAAATTGATTATCAAAACTGTGGCTTTCACAGTAACCATACTTTTCCCAGTGTAAAGTTTCACTAACAGCACTGCATGAATACATTGATTTCCATCTTAATAAAACAAATAAGACAAGATACAGCACGCTTTACAACCATACTATTAAAACAGGCAAGAATACAAACTGTTCTATAGGATACACCCAGTGCATCATAAAAAACAAATGCCATTTGTGCTGAACATTCCTTACAAAGACCTTTAAGGTTGCATTTGAAAATGGACCAGAATGGCTTGCACTTTTTAAATTAGGTACCAGTGTCACTCAACAGAAAAGCACGTAAAATGTGGATGGAAAAAACAACAACAAAAAAAACCTGTAATAGATCCTGTAATTAAAAAATTAAAATAAGGCTGATGGAAGAATGGGTTTAGAGGTGTGAACCTGCAGAATTTGGTGCCAAAAAGAAGCAACTAGGTTTTACTGAATAGATCTGTGAAATACCTGAGGCTGTCAAAGACACCGTTCAGGCAAATCAGCAGAAGCAGGCTAGGCTCCATAGGTACTGACACAAGACAATTTTTAGAACCGTTGTGATTCTAAATGATGTAGTTGTACGTATAGTGAAGTCCCTCACTGTTACAGTACATTCAAAGTAGTTACATTTACAACGTAGTTTGTTATGTTTACAAAGTTACGTTTACAAAGTAGTTTAGGTTTATGTCTGATGGGGTTTGATTTTTTTTCCTATAATTAAATTCATACTTATGGCTCAAGAACTCATATGATTCATTTTCACAGAATCATAGAATATCCCGAGTTGGAAGGGACCCATAAGGATCATCAAGTCCAACTCCAGTTTTTCAGTTTACTTGCACTTAAGTGGAATTATTTGTTCATATTTATACTAACTGCTAAATAAGTTGTTATACCAGGAATGGGTCCAGATCCACAACAGTGAAGGAAAAGCTCTCCTGTGAGGAGGACAGCAGGGGTAGATACAGCATACCTTTACATTTAGGGCTTTGCTTAATTGTTTCACAACATGTGTATGGAAAAAGCATAGCAGGAAGCACTAGCTTAATCCTTGGTATGGCAGAAAGGATATGGGCAGGTAAATTTGGTGATAAATAGAATTTAGTACTGAAAGCTTGTCTGAAGTGCTTGTTCTACTTCAACTACAGTACAGCCTAATGCCTATGTAACCTAAGAAAGGAGCAGAACTGTGGCAGAGATGAGAAAGAATTAAAAACACCCCAAGACCCACGAACTCCAGAAAAGCTCCATTCTAGAATAAGTAACTACAAAAAACAGGCTCCCTGGGGCAACAGGCTTTTTGGTAAACCATATGAAAGGTACGTTTCATCAGTAATAATCAATCCCTGGAAATCCAGGAGCTTTTAATAACAGATTCTTGCTCAGGAAAAAATATAATTCAGTACTTCTGGGGTACCTTCTGTCTGTTTTTGCTTCTGAACAAATAAGGTCAGTAACATGTCACATTTTTCAACAAGAAGATAGAATCAGGTGGTAATGATAAATAATAAGCCCTGAAGCAAACTCAGTTCTCAGGTCAACTATAGTTGTGTTGATCTCAGAAGAGTTCACATAAGAAAACATGTTTTGGATTCTAACATAGAGAATAGTGCCAACAAGTGGCTGCTTGAGGTTGGGAAAATTTAGCATTGGAATTTTTACATTCAAATTAACAACAACAACAAAAGAATCAAGGATTTCAGGAACACAAAGACATTTCTGTTATAGTTTTCACTGATCCTGTAAAGTGTATGAAAATTATGACATCACAGGCATATAAGATACATTTTTCTGTTTTCTCTCAAAGTTTCACATGTTACTAAAACATGATTTTCTTATAATGGAGTAACTTTTTTAAAAAAAGAAAAGTTTAAGACAAGCATGACTCATCCATATGACCTTAGCTATGCAGACTCTTTTTTTAAAGGAAATCCTTAAGACTTACTTTTCTCCCTCCTGGTGCTGAAACATAGTAAGGCAGAAACACACTCAAGTATACTCTCGAGTTGAGCAATGGATTTAAGACAAAGAAACAAAGACTGCACAGCCAAAATTGGAAACAAATGCATATTTCCTTGTCAACCTGCAACTACAGATATACCTGAACAGCTTCATCACGTGCTTGCTTTTCCTCTTGCCTTCTTTGACGCTCTTCTTGCAATTCATTTAAACGTTGTTCATATTCTTTTAATTTATTCAGCACATCATGACGTTTGTTCTGAGCTTCCAAGGTGTTTATAAATGCGATTTCATTTACCTGCAAATAATCAGAAAGTATAAGAAAAGATCTGTGAAGTTCAAGTTTTATTCTCAATGAATTCCATCCATTTGTTGATTACCCATTTGATAATTAATTTGATGGGTTATTTCTCCAGAATTGTCTGTAAACCAATGCTCAACCAAGCTGAACATAGGGCTTTGTCTTTTTCCTACTTTTGTTTGCTCCCCCCTTTTTATTTATTTTTAATAAAACGGATAGTCCACGGCATATAAAACAACAAAAAACAAAAGGAAGTTGAATTATACCAGAAATCAAGAAACACTGGGTAAATGATGGGAAAATATTCCCAATCTTCTCAAAGAGACTTTATTCGTCTATTCTCTCCAATTCACAGAACGTGGAATGCTAAGACCCATCTGTATAAATGTGTAACAGGTAACAGAATACAAAAGGTCTTTCTATTTAACTCTAACAGTATGGGTATTAACTGAATACAAAATGTGAGAATACATGTACTGTGAATAAGAAAACTATTGAGGTCATTATCTTAATATTAGATTTCTTACTAATACAGCCTATTTCATAAAGACAAGTACTATTTTATTCAACCACAGGTGGACACTGCAATACACAAGAATAAAATTTAAAAAAATCATACAAAAATGCTTACTTAAAAGTACTTTAATCAATCTACTACAAATATCAAAGAATATACTTTTCTACTGAGGTTCAGGAAGGTAATAATTCTTACCAACTCCAGGCTTTAAAATGCAAATGTTTTAGAAATTTATATGGATCTGGAAAATGCAAACTTTATTTAACTTATCTCTCATTTATCAGTTTGCTGCTCAATTTGTTTGAATCCACAAAAGACATTAGTGGAAAGGATAACTGTCAAACAATGACACATCACAGAAGTTGGAAGGCTTTGTTGTTGGTTTCTTTTGCTTTAATGACTACAGAATGAATTTCATAGCTCAGTAAATAGTTAAGCACTAGGAATTTGGATAAGCAAATATGCAGCAACGGTTATCATGGCCTTTCAGCTTTACTCATCAGCTACTATTTCTCTAAAGCTTTTGACCCAATTAACCCTTATTTCCATAACAAAAGAATCTCAAAAGGCAGATCTTACACAGTTGAACACAGACAATACCAAAAACGTCTGTTTAGCTGGGGAATTACACTAAGTGTGGTTTGGTTAATATGATTATAGAAGTCACACCATTGTAATGACATAATAACGAAGGTATATTAGACTGAATTAGGTAATCTGGAAACTACTTTATTCAAAGAAACAGGAAGAGCAAGTGAGAAAGCTAAATCAGCTTTGTTGTGCTCATCACATAATAAGGATGAACAGCTGCATCACAGCTGGGACACATGCTCATTATGTAATTTTAGTCATAAGAAGATACGTATTAGTGTTTATCAGAAGAATATGATTTAAGCAACCAACAAAATAAAAACCATTCATTGCTCACCTTACAAAACCAGGTATTGAAGCCAGAAGGGCAGTAGCAAAATACTTGTTTTCTAGTAATTGTCCTGTGTTAACTGTAGGTTTCTATTTATTTCCAGCTATTTAACAAAATTAGTAGTACAAACCACAGCAGGAGAAACTCAATGAGCTCTCCCAACTTTGCATTCAGCTGGAATATCATGAGATCTGCTACCCTTCCAGGAGCACTGTTTATCACCAAAAATGCCTCCATACTCACAGTGAAGAAGAGCAACAACGCTATCAGCTCTTTATTTCAAACCATCTTTTCCTCCAGTACAGCCCACCATGATAACAGGTCTAATAACAGGCTCATTAATTTTAAATTAATTTTAGGGAAAAAAACTCCCTTTTAGAGATTGACATTTATCTGTTTTGCATGTGACACATGCCCATACCTGACTTCCATTATCCTTCACAGTATATTCCAGAGCACTCCGCGGTACAGAACTTAAAGAAATATTATCATTGATTATTTTCCCTTTAAAACAAAATAACTTACCTTAGCTTCTTCCTCTTGTGCTTTTTTCACAATTGCTTGTAGCTGCACTTCACGTTTAAACTCTGCATGGAGTAATTTTTCCTCCATCATCCTGCGTCTTTGATCTAATAACTCTTCTTTCCATTTCCGTACATCTTTCTCCTATATGTAATTACTGAATTCATTACTAATACAATAACTGGAAATAGGCTCAGAATTTTCTTATTTTTGAAGCTTTATTTACAGCAATAAAACATTTTGATGCCCTATACAAACCCTGCACCCAGTTTAACCCAAAGTGCACGTATTCGCTAACTGCTTCACTGTTAGATATGCTTTACAAAATTCATTTCAGTAAATTCTGATCCTCTAAAAGTAAAGTATGCAAGTAATCATAAGTTAGACTTATAGGATAATCAAGGTTGAGAAGGAACTTAGGAGATCATCTAATCCAATCTCCTGCTTTAAGTACATTCAACTATGGGGTCAGACCTTATCGCTCAGGAAAACCTCCAAGTATGAAGAAGACACACAACCCCTGAGTAACCTGTTCCAATGCCTGACTGTCCTCACCATGAGAAATTTTCTGCATGTATCTGACTAGAACCTCTCCTTTCAAAAAAATCTATGCCCATTGTCTCTCAACCTACTGCCATACAGCAGTGTGAAAAGCCTAGCTCCACTCCCTTGATAATCACCTTATAAGTATTTGAATGCCCCCAGTATTGAGTCCCTCAATCTATCCATCCACACAAATAAGCTGATAGAGGGAAGAAAATAAACCAATACAGTATTGTGCCTTTCATTAATGAACTCTGAACACTTTTTTCCATTTCTTTGCTCTATTTTCCTTTTTTTTTTTTACTGTAACCTTTGGCAGATCATCCGCATCTTCTGAAACATGTATATAGCCCACATCACAACAGGAGAATTGATCTAGAATGAGATCTTCTTGTTTTGACGTTAACAATATAATTATCTTAGTTTAGAATAAAGCCATGTCCTTTCTGTGACGCACAAGTCATCTGACAAAGCCACGTGAACTCAGACTCACAGGAAAATTTCATTCTACTCCAAGTTTTAACACCTAACATTTCTAGATCACGTGGGGAAAAAATGTTTTCTGAAAGGCAGCAAACTGCCTACTTTGGTTTACAGAAGGCTTACCCTTTCCATTAATTTTTGAAGCTTCAGCGTCTTTTCTTCACGTAACTTTTCTCTCAGCTGTTGAGCTTTCATCTGTTTCTCTTCATGTTTCTTTTTGGATTCTGCTATTGTTCTTTTAATTAAAAACACAGCAGAGCAAAAACCAGTGAGACAACATCAGCTGACAACACTGCAAACATTTCTATGACATTTTCAGTAAGAGAACATAAACAGGCCACTGGACTGCAATTAAATGTAAATATTGTTCTTCTAGTCTTCAAATATTTATTTCATGGTCAACTAGCATGAACCTAGTTCATTATGAAAATAATACATTGATTTATTTAAAACTTTCCACCCACAGACTTAAAGTAGATTCATGAGCAGTTTCATACAGCCATGAGCTTGGTTGTTTTCACTGCTCAGTCCAGACAGGTAACAATTCTAAGACCTTTTGCGTGATGGTGACGACAGTTTCTCGTGCATGTGTATTCCATGGCCAGGTGGACGTGCAGGCTCTTCTTCCACTCTGTCTCCCCAAGAATTACTCTGGCGCCATGACTCCCGGGCTATACATTAAGAAACAGACTTTTATAATTTAAACACACTATCCTGGGAGAAGTACAATTAATAAGGCTTTGGTCCTCCTCAAGTTCCCTCTCAAATGGGTTGCCTTCAGCCTAGGCAAGGTGCAAACTCAGACTGAAGAATCTCTAATCCCTGCGCATTTTCAATGCTTGATTATTTTACTAGACTTCTAATCAAACGTTAAGACAAAACTGGATAACAACTTTTAAAATTCTAATAGAGACATGGTAGTAGAGAGCTAAAGAATGACACACAAAGCTGAAAGATAGCTTGAACACAGAAGTCCATCTTTCCTAAGGAAACAACATCAAAAATGACACAACTTGGAATAATATTTAGATGTTAGGGGCATCTTCCAAATTACATAGGCATAAGTAAAACAGACATTTTTCTAGATTTTGCTGACATTTCAAGTTAAACACAGTAATATATGAAAACGTACCTTCATAATCTGCCAAGACATCATTCCAATCCATAGACATACCGCAAAAAGATATGCTTCCATTGCCCATACTAGCCTGAAAGTTAATGATATGCACAGTAAAAACATAAAATTTAACACACAGACAGACACATACATTAAACAGTGCCAACTCGATGATATCTAACAATGTTTCCAAATTCAATTAGCCATCTCAAAGATGCTGTTCCTGCTGATTGTGATAGTAGGTAGTAGACACTACCACTTCATCAGGAGTAGCTCCTGTATGGCAGCAGTACCACACCCCAACTCTCCTATGTTCCTACTCAAAAGCAAGCAGCACGAAAATGAGGGCAACATCAGAGGCTCTTTATCACTCAGCAGCGCTGTGCTGTTGAGTTTACTAAGACTAAATACTCCTTAAGACACAACAGTAACTACTACCTGACACTATGTACTTCCATTTGCATGTAATACAGGTTGCATTAACACACAAAGAAATGATTAACAAATTCTACATTAATACTCTGCTGACATCCAAGACAGCTTAAAGTTGGGTACTTTAAAATAAATCAAACACTCACAGAGAAATCACTATCATTGTCAGTCTCAATATTAATGTCATTGTTTTCCTCTGCTTCAATCTCTCTAGTTAATTGCTCTTCTTCTGCAATAGCACTAGCAATAGCTTCTTCATTTGCCTTTTCCAGGCGATCTGCCAACTCTTCTTTCTTAGCAAGGACTTCTGCCATAGACTGTATAGGAAACATGAAACCAAGAAACACCCACAAATCAGATCCAGGCACAAAAAAGTTGTTTTCAGACAGTTAATATGAATTGTAGGACATTTTGTTCAACTTCTGATTACCTGTAGATCCTTCCTACTATATTTTGTCAACATCGCATGTGAATGAAATATAAAAAACATTAAAACTGTTAGCAATTATCAGCTAATTTAAGGGCTAAATAAACCAATAATCATTCACACAATTCTTAATATTTTATACAAATGTTGTCATTAAAAGCAACCAAGACAGTTTGTCTCTAATTTCTATCTTTTAAATACCTAGCCTTAGGAACTAAGCAACGCATACACTGAAACACTGACAGCATGTGCTGTTCTATCTTCAGAAAAGAAATCATGCTTTGAAGTATTATTTAGAAGGCAAAAATGGACCTGCAGATAACCCGTATCTAGAAACTTTACTGTGCTTAGTACTACTAAATCTCAGGCTATGATTGTTTTTCAACATGAATGGCAACATAGTTGGTCAGGAATGTTAGCCTGAATGTGCTGATTGTCGTCATCTTCTCAAATGTCCAGTAATAACTAGTTCATTTCCACTCTAGATACCAAGCAATGTGCCAAAATGCACAAATCTGAATTTAATACAACTTAATCTGGATTAGTGAAATGCTTCCAAGAGAAAAGATCCCAAACTGTTAGCATCCTGAACTGTTAATAATTGAGAATCTGAAATAATGTTAGTAGATGAGGTGCTAGAAATCAGATCTTTCTAAAAGCAATCAGATACCCAACTTGGAAATTAACATCATTTACAGACAAGACTATTGCTAGGTAAAGGGAAGGTGATTCACAGGAAAGTTCTGTAAATCACAATACTAATATAGTTTCAAGATATGAAAAAAAAAAACAAAAACACTAGACAATTGGATTTTATGTGGCCTGTCTGCGACTCTGCTCAGAGAAACCCTGAAAAGCAGACACATCGAAACCCACAGAATCCAACAGACAGGAGAAGACATTCTTTATAGGAATCCACATTAAAAGAGAATATTGACTTGACATTTGTTATTTCAGAACAGCATTTGTCATCATTGCTAGTTGTATGGGAAGACTCAAGAGAGCAGTTTAGTTAGCCTTAAAAGGTAAGGAGGTCTATGTTTGTTTCTAACAGAATTATGACATCCTATGTCTTTCCAGTTTGGATAATTAGCAAAACTGGAGTAAGAATTTAATAAGAAACTTACTATTAAATGACTGATAATGTAAGGAAATGAGAAACTATGGCAACCATATGTAAGAAAAAAAACAGTCAGAGCACACTAATACTCTTTATTCCAAATAATGCACTTATATATTTCTAATTCCAATTTAGAAACTTCACTGAAATTCAACCTATAAGGATGTGTGCAATACATTTTTTTTCTACATTAAGTCCTCTATAGACTTTTTTTCAATTTGTACAAGAGGCTAACGCTAAACACTGTGCAACACAGAATGAGAAAATTAAGGCTTACAGTTAGTATTTACTCACAAATCTTGTAAGATTTCTTACCCATCTGGCAGCACTCACATTTGAAATATCTGAGGGATCCATTTCAGTTTCAGTTCTAGCTTTTTCTGTCTGAAGTTGGTCTACGTCATCAGGGATCACAGAGGAAGCTTCATTCATCTGGGGAGTCGCTGAAGTACTGTCAGTATTTGTGAGAACTGGAGGCACCTCAGAAACTGTTTGTAAGGAATCTTCTTGCGAGAGTGTGCCAGTGCACCCCGTATCTTCTGATGTGTGTGCTGTGAACTAGTTGGAGACATTTGCAAGATTAATAAGGTAATACTGATTTTTGAAAAGTCACCAAAGTGAAAAGGATTTTAACAAAATACCTGGCATCCTTGCAGTGAGTGATATAAACAACTCCACTTACAAAGATTTCCAGTGAGTCATAACTTTGCAAAAGTTGGATCTTTACCTGAATTGCTCTTTGTATGAAATGTGCCTAATGATGAGTTCTTGGAAAACAATGGGAAGCCTGTCCAAAGCATTGTAAATCATATGGTTCACCTTATGATTTTTAACTTACCTATTTGTGCCAACATATTAATGTGTTCTCACAAATCTAACTGAAATAAGTCATCATTTTCAACCCTCTTCTAATCTGTTTAGTGAATACGAACTCTTGACAATACTACCTTCAGAAAATTCTCTAAAGATAAAGCTGCAAGACTTCTTAAAGCAAGAAAATGGTTCAAAATTTTACTGACCTGAGTCCTCTCAGTAAGAGGATGTTCAGACTGATGTAAGGGGTCTTTCTGTGCAAGCTCTGTGCTTTTGGATGCACCATCGTCAGAGACTGAACTTCTACTCTTACTCTCCGATGGTGGCGAAATGACATTTTCTTTGTCACTGTCACCTCTGGGCTTCAGTGATTCTGCAACTACAGGTTTTGTTGACAAAGCCATGGATCGAGATCGAACAGGCCTTCCACGCTGAACTGTTTCCCAGCCCTCTGCATCCTTTCGATCTACATTAAAAAAAACCACCCCGTTATAAACAACTGTTTTACTACAGTATTATGCAAGTTGTGTGATAAAAATGTTCTCTTTAAAAATAAACACCAAAAATCAATGGAGCATTTTAAGCAAAGCTTTTTACTTTCAAGTGCTATCAGTTTCACAAAGACTGAACAACTCTCTTTGTGGATGGCACCAATTCTCTTACTGCTAAGTTACTTATACACATAACCAGGTGAAAAATGACACGTACTTAAGCATTTTACATCTACACTGCTAATTCACCAGATGGCGTATGCAGCAACAGTAACATTAGAGGCCTTTTGTGAAAGCACACATCTCTGCAAGTACAGACGTAATTGCAGGTTTCAATGAGGAAAGTGCAGTCCAAAAAGTGGTTTACTATTGTTCCAGAGATGGTTTGGGGTTTGTTTTGTTGTTGTTTACTTTTTTTTCCAGTTGTTTCATTCTGATATTTAAAATACGTTAATCAGTGTCAGGTTTGAGGAAATTTCTTCTTCCAGAAATCCAGCAAGATTACAATATGAAATTAGAAGAGTAGTTTTCTTCCATTTACTTTAATGACTGGTTAAGTCATCATTTACTCTAAGCTGGCTAAGTACAACTTTCTGACCAACCTTTTTAATCTCTAATCTTGATGTACACCCACAACTCCTTCAAAATTACATTTGTCTGCCTGAATTATCAGGTCTTAGGCATAATATGAGCATATCTAGCAACTCAAGGTAAACCTCTTCTCTGTATGTAATATTTCTGTAGCCTCCAATTAATACCACCATGCAATTTCTCACACATCTTGAAATGACTGGAATTCTTTTGAGACTTGATGATAGCTCAGGAGTAGAAAAGCTAAGCTCACAATGTCTATTTGTAGAAGAAAAGCTCAGGTGACCAATGCCACAAAAAGAAGCCTAAATTTAACTCATTTAAATCAGTTTTAGTTTCAATAGATACGATCCTTTCTACAATACCCACTTTCACAAAGAGTATAAACTCAAAGTATCTCAAAATTTAGCACTTGAATAAACAGTATGGCACAATAAATCATGAGAACAGGTGTTCTGTAAAGAATCCTAATTTTCAAAAAGCGTAGCTCCATCTTTATGAAAAGCACGATCAATCTTTTTATTTTAAAACAGTTAAGAATAGCAATGTACCGCAAGTTTACAAAACAAAATATTACAATTTGGAACTAATCTATTACTCAAGGGAGAGGCAATAAAACATCATCATTTAATAAAGTACTGAAATTATGGAAGAAAAAAAGAAAGAAGAGCTCAGCATAAGAATAAAATCTAAATGGCAAGCAAAACTCAAGAATTAGCAATTTCCAGGCATGTTTTTACAGAAAAATTTGCAAAGCCAATACATTTATTGACACTAGATCATGTAGCTCCTAATCTGAAGCAAGGGTAACACTCATTAGGGCATCATCCTCCCTTCCATTTTTTTGCATACACCTGGAACTCTTTTCATATAGCCCAGTAGCCATCTCCACAAGCTAAGTATCACATAGTGAGTTTGACTACTTGCCGAGTTTTGTTAATGAATAATTTATTTGACTACCTTGATCATTCTCTAGTTTCTCTTGAGCTTCCCCATCCCTGCTTGCTCTTGTGTTACAGGGAAGTGACAAGCCATCTGTTATCTTGAGGCCCTTACAGCCACCAGGGCCTTATCCTTCCCAGGTTACTCCACCTGGAAGCACTGGCCAAGTAGCCTTATCAGCAACATCACTAAAATAAATCTAGTCAAGTTAGTGCAAAACTCTTAGGAGTCCTACCTTAGGAGATGCGTACCCCTTCTTAAAAATTTACTTGCAAGTAATATACTACCGTAGTGTATTTGACCTTCCCCATTCATTATTAAACCTCAGCACTTTTTTTTTTTTTTTTTTTTTTTTTTTTTTTAACTCTAAGGTAACATTACTGTATCTGAGAGGCACTTTGGAAAACTGATTATTTGAGAAACAGGAAGCAAATCCAGAAGTGTATACTCAGATGAAACAGTTACAAGATAGAATACATGAGAGCTGGGAAAAAGAAAAATAAAATTAAATGTATCAGTCTGTGAAGTAGTGAATTTACAAACTATAATAAGAAGTGGTGAGTTAACATGCAAGACTTTTTAAAGATGTAAATTACCAGACTACTTTTAATGATTGCTTATAAATACATATGAATTATTTTAAAAAGAGAATTACTGTAAATTTTCAAAAGAAATTGGGTCTAAGAATTTGAAAACCCAGTCAGGAATAAAATGCTCTTTTCTGTTTGTGATGGCATTTCCTCAATTTGTTCTTAATTCATGAAAGTTATGAGTTCTTCCATAAGCCCATACTAGGACAGTTACTTTAGAGGACCGTATGTCCTGCAAATCTGAAGTACTTGCTACATGACAAAGAAAATCAATCCACAACTATGGACATGAGCAACTAATATGGAAAAAACAATTATTAATTAAATTTCAAGTGCAAATGTGGAAAAAACACATTCAATATTTCTGGAAAGTGCACATTTTCTTAACTGCATATTCTCCTGAATTACATACTAACAACATACAACTGTTAACTGTAAGCGCTGATTCCCAGTCTTAACACATTCTAAACCAGTATCACCCATCTTGCCTCTTACCACTGACACCTGGGAATTATTTCCCTGGTAAACTATGTTTCATTTTGTAGAAAAAAATTAAGACTGAAATACAGACTTATTTTTTTTAATTATGAAAATATTGAAGGTAGCAATGTTTTTAATGAAGGAAATCAGATAAGATGATATAACTCCCATTTAAACGTGCATCCAGAAAAAAAGAAAAATCATTTAAAGAAATACCTGGAGAAACCGTGCATTTTCTCTCTCCAGTTAAAATTGGAAATCCTATCAACCTTGAAACAGATACAGTATCATACTGCTTGTCCATTTCACAAAAACATTGTGAGGCTTAATGGTAACACTGTTTGAAGCCACTGAAGAAAGTGTTTTAGGCAGATCTTGCCACTGGAAACCCCAACTGGGCTTTAGAGTAGCCAAGAGTGCATTATAGGATAGCAGGAGGAAGTCTCCCACAAGGCCTGAACATACCTAGCAGCTGTGCAGAGTGCATTAGCTGGTGGACAGGCAGAGCAGATGATACACAAGCCTCATATCTACGTCAATAATGCATGCTCCAGTCAGCAAGATCAATTTGATTTTACTCAAGAGATTCTACCCTCCATATGAAGGAAAATGCACTCCAAAAAGCATCTGGTTTCTTTTATTAAAAAATTGCAATTCAGCCATGAGAAAATCATTGAAGTTCTCCAGCGTTAGAGATAAGAGATTCTTAATAAACAAAGTCTCTACAAGGAATGACTGTTACTTCTATATGTGAAATGTTTCAAGTCTGACTGTTATAGTACATTTAAATTAAAAATTACTGAAAGCTTACAGGCCAGTACTATAGGACCTAAATGGTTTTGCTCTATTTGGAGCTCATCAGCTTCAAGTAACAGCCATTAACAACACACAGAACAGGGATTCTTCAGTCCTTTAAGTTTCTAAAGCTAACATACGAATAAGGTCTTTTGTTTTCCTTTTAGCCTCTAAAGAAGATGTTATCCATATGGAAGAGCAGACTGCTTTTATTCCCTGCATAGTTAATGAAGTTGTCCATACTTTCATCAGACATTCTTGTGGGTATTTTAACAGCCTGTAGTCTGCCACTTTAGTATGAGAGATAATCAATAGAAAAAAATTTATGAATAATTTCAACAACACACAGAAGTCAAAAGTGGAATTCAACTTACAGTTACAATGCTGAAACTTCAGCAGACTTCTACTACACTCAAACCAGCTCACTGCAGCTTTATAGATCAAGATGTTGTTACACAAACAGCACTGATCAAATCCTATCCAAACAACCACTTCTGGAGTATGGTTTTGATTGTTCTTTCCAAGCATAAAAATCTGCATGCTACTGACTCAATTACATTAACTTGCAAGACACTTCAACAAGATTTTATCTCCTTCATATATCACGTATCTGAAACACCATACAGGATTTCTACTACCACTGGATTGAATGTACCACTATGCTAATACGTATATTCTCTTCCAGTATTTTCTCTCTTCAAAAATAAAATTTAAAAGATTGTTCACAATTTCATCTGAATATTGATTTCTACACCTTGCCTGCTGGTTTTGTAGAAAGTCAACAGGTCCACACATGGAAAAAAAAATGGAAAAAACGCAGTTTTCAAAATAATATCAGAGCTCCGGTGTGTGCAGAAGTTGTCATCTTGTATTCAAAGAAAGAAAAACCAGCCACCGTCACCTGAGTGTAGTTCTAATCATGTTGTCTCCCTGATCACATAAAACTACTTTTGAGCTCTTTTACAGAATCCTGGACACGTATTGTTGTTCAGAGATGATTTTTTTTTCTTTTTTCCCTGGAAGTCACAGCTCTTTGTTTTCTCCTATGATCCTGACGTCAGTGATGAAGTATAGAAAACATACACAGAGGTTTCATGCAAAGAAATTTTGTACCTCCGACTCACTCTGTTAGATTATCAGCTTGTGACCGAAGATTCTTCTTGGGGTGTTATGCACTAATGTTTTAGCAGATCAATTTATAGTTGCTGGAAGTATATTAGCATGCTACCTATACTCAAAAACACAACTTTGTCTCAAAAGTCTCTCTTAGCTATCACAATGATAATGCATACCTGCAGGAATATTTTCTCTCCATCCTTTATTCCAATTTTAATATTGTGATACGCAAAATTGGACTTCATTTTGATTTGAAAATAGGTAACATGCTAAACTAACTTTATAGCACGTGCTTTGTGAAAATAAGCCATTTAAAAAAGACTTGCCATTTTTTCGTGATGACTTCTGTGCTGGAGTTGGCAGGCAGGTTGGCGGTGTTGCTAGCTCAGGATTAGCAGCTTTAGTTCCATGGTTGGCTTTTACCTTATCAGCCCAACTTACACCAGAAGGAGCCAGGCGTGTTGCAGAAATCGTCACTGATGGGTTCCTAAATGGAAGTCATAGCTATCATTAGTGTCTAATCAAAGAGCACAATGGTTCATTACAAAACTTTTTCTCATTACATCCCTTATTTAATCTTGGTCTTTACTGACTTAGATTGAGATCTATTTCCAAAAACTGGAACCTATTTTCTCTCTCCCAAGTTTTCAAAATCTGTGTTCCTTGAACATTAAAAACCTCAGTAGATGCCTTAATAGAAAAATCTGTACAAAATTCAACTCATTAAAAAGGTACACATAGCCACAGAAACAAGGACAGAGCAACAAATCAGCACGCGGAGGTATCAGGCACTACCTTGATAGCCTCTTACTTATTTCCAGTCACACTGACGTCAGAAGGAGATACCAAGCAGTGCTGCAGCTGGAGAAAAATCTCCATGTGAGATTCCTTATATGTAAAAGTCAATGAAACCAAATTAACAGGAAGCTAACTTCTCAGACTAAAATTTATAAATGTCAAGAAGCAAAAGTAACATGCAACACCACAGTGATGTAGAAACAGTTGCCACAAGAAACATCCTCTGATACCAAACCGTAATGTCGTAACACTAAATGTCTGGTGCCTAGTTACAGCCAAGTATAACCGCTCTTCTATTGCGTCTTCCCAACTCCTGCCCAGTCACACCAGTGAACTGTACAGAATGGGCTGCAACCATTATGAATATGAGTAGTCAAACTATATGTACAGAAAGTCCACTGAAGTGCAGGTTTAATTATAAATGTAGATGAGACAAATCCATAATGTACTTTGTTTCACTAGACAGTTAAGTAAATAAATTAATACATCTATTTTCTCTTACCTCCTCCACAGAAATAAACTAAGTCTGGAGAGCCGTCCTATTAACTTCCAGAAAGACCTAAATGACTCTGCTAAACTTTGAATTTCTGGATGGACAGAACTGTAATGGTTTTTCATTTTATTTTTTTCTTTTGTCCACCACTTAGAGCAAAACCACAATACTTTATTCAAATGAATGCTACCCAAATGATTTTTATAAACTTGAAAACATTAACATCCCTTCTGTTCAAGAAGCATCCAGTTCTTTTCAGTGACAAGGTTCACTTTATCTGCACCACAGAACCAATTTCTCTTCCAAACTTTATAATGCTGAGTAAGATGGTCCAACAAATCCAGCTGCGTCATTAGCTAAAGCAAAGATAAAGATTTGGAGATCTTGCGAGTCTCAAGCAAATATGTAGAAAACCCCTACATAACCAGACCACTCACTTATTTTAAGCCAGTGGGATATCAGGTGGTTGTATTTCCCATTTTTATCAAGTCAGCCTTCCCATTTTTATCAAGTCAGCCATCAAACAGCTATAAAGAATAATGCCATGAAACTCTAGCTAGTTTTTACAATCCCCTCTGATCCTGTGGGGATGCAATGCAACGTGAGGACATCAGAAAAAGAGGCCAACCAAAACCTCAGGCTGCATTAGGTTACTTAAGTAGCTACAAACTACAGTAGATATTTACAAAGCAAGCTGTATACAAATGAATAGTAAAACTGTCAAAGACCAGACTGTAAATAGAAAAAACTTAATGGAAAGACATTTTGCTGAGCTTTTTTTAATAAAGAGCTTTTATTTCCTCCATACTCAAATTTTTCGTTTGACTGCTTGCACATATTTTCCTCCAATCATCATGTATCTAAGCAGAAAACCTCTCAAACACTGTCAAGTAGGTATTAATGCATACAAAAACACTAGCACTGTTCGTGTAATTTTTCCACCAGTTTGTAATATCTTCATAGATTCTGATATTCAAATTTTAAACACAACTGAACACTCAGAGGTCCTGACCAAATATTCTAACGGATCTCTCAAGGCCACTGTCACTACTTACGGTACATGCTCTAGAACTCATCAATACTGAATGAATTAATAACGCAGTCTGAGAATGATTTAGATTGGACACGTGCTCTCCAGAATTGAAACAGCACCAGACAGTGCTGCTCTAAAATGGTGCTTATACATATTTTTGTTGAGCTCCTTCCACAGTCATTTTCATTATAGCAAAGTGAAAGATGTGCTATTCTAGTATACAACATGCTCTATACTTAAACTTGTATCAATTTTGCTGTTCAGAGTCATAATAAACTCAGTTTACATTCATTCCTTCTGATCAATACTTGTGCATATTCAGCTGGCCACTTGCATTGTTCATACAGGTAATTTTAGAATTACAATTACACAAATTTTAACCTTAGTTTTGTAGAAGGAAAGGATTACTAAATAGGTAACATGAAATATACCAACTGGTCATTCCAAAGACCTGAACATAAAATGCAATAGTTAAATATGTAATAAAATAAGTTAAAAAAAATTAAGTCCTTGATAGTTTTTTTTCTTTACAGAACATATGCTTTTCTTCCACTAATGCAATTGTTTGTAGGTATGACTTAATAAATAGCAAAGCAGTATATTGATTACTACAGAAAAATGCCACGTTCATTAACTCAGCTTCAAATAAATCCTTACTTTAGCTTTAATAGACTTATCTGTTTTCATACCCAAAATTTAAACTTCTTCGAGCATTTGACGTCACATTAATTCTATCTGTTGAGGGACTTGGTATCACATGGCGTCCGGGAGACATCTTCTTTACTTCCCAGGCTAGTGAAGTAGGTCTGCAAATTCAGGAAAGAAATGGTTAAAAATAAAATTCTCAATAACTATTCCTCTGTCACCTTACCATGATCTGTAAATGCTCTATAGTATTATGGAATACTGCTGAACATAATCAGGCATCTTAGCAATTGTTTCCACACCGAATCCAAACCATACTAGCCAGGCTGAGATCAAAAATCATTCACTTTTAAACTACAACACTTACTTTAAATTTCAGTATGGGACCAAACATTAAACCAACCAGTAAAAGGAAAATGACTAAGGGTAGAACTGGAAATACCCTCTAGTTCTAGTGACTGTAGCAATGCACATAAAAAGCCCTGACAAATCAAGAAAGGAACCTACGTTGTCTTATACCATATAACAGACCATTTGATAGTATTTAAATGCAGCTTTGTTTAATATATGTAACAAATATCTCCTGGTACAGGAGAAAAAATAAAAATAAAAAATGAGAACTAACCCAATATATCACCATCAACTCATTCTATTACACCACTGATGTAACAAACAATCTGCAATAACATTTACTGATAAATGTCTACTAGCAAAGATAATTGAACAGGTTGAATTAATTTAACTGCTACTAACATAAAGTATTCTCATCCAAAGAGACAGAGCATGAGATGGAAACCAGAACTGCAGTTTTATTATGCCTCTACTTTTTTTTTTTTCCTACTTTTAATTCTTGCTCTTGAAGCTAATCTGATTACATGGAAATTACAACCGGCAATTAAGAACAAAATCAAATTTGTAGAACCCACTGTTAGGGAAGAAGGGTTTAAAAAAAATCACATAAGTGACTTTAACTGTGCCTTTTTTAAGGCACAAATTGTGATGATGTAAACAGCTTTACCTTTCTAATACCATCCTTCCAAACTGGCTTCCATTTCCAGCACCACTATTCCTTGATAACTCTGAAAGGCAGGAAAGAATCCCCACTACATCCTCACATGAATTACCTCCAAAAGAAAAAAATTCTTCTGGGTTCCCTACAACAGCTATTAAAAGTGGTTCTATTTGCTAAATGGCTGCTGCAGAATGACTTTTATCATGAGTCTGCATTTTGCATATAGATAAGAGAAAAAAATAAAAGTCTCATTACCTGCTTTGAGCATCAGCCTTTTCTAGTTTCTCCTGTAGCTGTATCCAGTCAATCAGCGCTTTGAAGTCCCTTACATAGTTATCAAGCATCATCAGGACTTCCTGAAAAGCAACCATTACATAAACCTTAGTATTTCAAAAACAGTTCCTATGACCCCAAAAAGAGAAGTGAGTAGAAAGTAGGAAAGTTACTGGCCTGCATCATCTTTCCTATCAAAAATAAAAACGGGGGGGGGGGGGGGGGAAGCACAAACAGTTAAGATTTTTATGTGAACAAACATTAAAACACTAATTCTATCAAAAACATGTTTTCCAAGATCTTTCCAAGCACCAACATCTAAGGACAGAAGAGAAAAATCTGGCAAGAAAATAATTCCTAATATACATAGATACTACTGTTTGAGGGTTGGTTTGTTTTCTGTCAAAATCATTATCCTTTAAAATACTTCATCCAATAAGTAAAATAAAATAAAAATGTATACATCCTTATAGACCTGTGGAAGAAAAAAACACACTGCTGGTGATTCCTCTGTCTGCAGAGTGAACACCAAGTTACACAATAGCAACTGTATCAGATGGAGGGGATTCCTTCTGAAGAATCCAGAAATCCTTGCATTAGAAAAAATTAGTTCTTGAGCCCTGAAGTACAGCCAACTGTACCTTGTTCCTATGGTCTTTCAAGAGTGCAGATCTTTCAAAGGGGGCACAGATGGATGCCCCTGTGCTCATCTGGGTTTGTGACAGACATCCTACTGCCACATTAGATTATCAGCACTATTATACTGATAAAGGAACTTTAAGGAGAATCTCATGGCGCTATTTTGAGAGACAGAATAGAAAGGATTGCTGCATTAGATCTGGTTTATAAAACGACTGCCTTTGACAAAGTTACTGCGAAATAGACAAGATGACCTGCAAAATGCCAAGCTTACATTCTCCTCTCTGATTAGTACACATTAATAAGTGAACAAAAGTCTCTAATTGCAAATCCTCCACTACAGAATGATTACAAGCCCAGACCCTACAATTGCAATACCCGGACTATTGGTATTACAATCTTGACCATTACAAACCAGTTAGTTTTCTACCATTCTAAAAGTTATTTTTGAACTATAATGAAGTTGCTGAAGAATTTACCCATTTTTACGTGAGTTAATCACACAAAAAAAATGCATTTGTGAACATATTGTATGGCTTGAAAGATTTATATACTATAAAATAATACAACTGGAAGAGATCTTAAGAGCAACCTACTCCATCCCATAGCTCTTGGGCAGGTTTAACCATTCCCTGTCAGAAATGATGTAGGTGTGCTGCAGTTTCATTCAGAACATTGCAACATCTTGAAGTTAGAAGAAGATTGCAAATTATGTGTTGGTCTCTATCACACAGAATAAAAACCATTAGTTAAGTGTATAACTAAAAATCTTAAACAATAAAAAAAAAAACAAAAACATTTAAAACAGTAAGAACTCTACTACAGTAAAGCCAACTAATCCCTATTTTTGTAGCATCATTTCCTATTCGCTTCTAACAGAAAAAGGACCTTTTATACATGCAAAACTCTTTTCTGTTCAAAACGTAAAGATGATTATTCATGTTGTTTAACACATGCAAGTTTAAAAGCCAGCTTTAGTTTGCACAGAAGTATCCTTTTAACTAGGATGTACGACAGACCTAGAACATATGCTGTTTGTTATAAAGGAGAAGTCAGAAGGAAGTCAAACATAGTACCACTGCTGATCTGAAAGTTGCTCTTTGTTTTGAAATACTCCACAAAAAAGCAAGCAAAAATCTTTCTTACAAGGCAGTTAGTTTACAACACTAAAATAATTTGCATGTTAAAGTCTGCTCCAAAAAATGAACAAGTCAAGTATTTTAGCCAGCTCTTTTTTTTCTCCAGTTTTGCTAATAAAATTTCAGCTTTCTAATTCAATTCAAATACATTTCAGTTAGCCTACACTAAGTTGTGCTGACTGTTATTAACAATAAGGGCATAGAAAGCAAAATTTAATTCTGAAGCATTTATTTTTCAAGTCTGCCACTGAGATATTCCTCACAAAAACATGAATCAATCTGAATATGAGTTATATTTCTGAAGTAAGCTGGCACATGAAAAAACTACAATAAATGGCTTACCCTATTTTAAGGAATGTTTAGCTGCACATTATCAGAAATGATCAGAGCAGAACCATGCAGCTGTAATCCGAGTCATGTTTTACGAACAAGGGAATACAAACAAGACAAGCAGCTGGAGCGGCCCCATATTCACTGATGCACATCTTTCTCCCTACAGCTATGAGGGCCATTTTGTCAGGCAGGATGAAGCAGAACAAAAGTGGCTCTGAAAGCGCCGTTACAGGCATCCAGATAACTACATATAGATGTACAGCTAAAATTACCAATTAGTTTACCAATTGGCTGCAACGGATTCGATTGGTTTGTAATTAATTCTAGTTACTGGCGCATACAGCAGGACGGTTGGCGCCATCCCTTTGTCCTACTGACACACAATACCGGCGCACGGGGCTCTTGGGTCTTGGACATCAATACAGCTCTCTAGCTTACCTGCAGTATTGCATGTAGCAGATATACCCTGTGGTGCTGAAGCAGTGGAAACTCGTACCACTTGAGAAGGTGCTGACAAAAAGGAACCTTTATGGGGTAGAGTATGGCTGCACTAGAGTCAAAACAATTTTAAATCCCATTATTTTTCAAGGTCATATCTATCCCACACAATTTTTAAAGAACCAGTTCAAACTAAAAAAGAAAGCAGTACTGTTAAAAAAACAGCTAAATGCAAAATCAGTGACACACAACTAAAAACACACAGAATACAGCTCCTGTTTCCTCCATCATTCTGATTCACAGCCCTGCACATTAAAAAGCTTTTTTCTGTGCATTTCCTTTTCTCCAGTTCGCAACTATTGCTTCAGCTTTTATGTACATACGTATATTTAAGTTGTGCTTCACACTCTTCAGTTGATCATATTAATGCCTTTCCAATCAGAAAGGCTCTCTATAAATAGAATAGCTGTATTAGAATAATCCTGTATTCCTGAATCAGAACCATCTTGACTTGGGTCCTAGCCAGGTCGATTATAGCCTTTAAAACCAGAGGTTCACTTTGCCTGGAAATCATGCAGCTGCTTTGAAACTTCACCTTCTCCACTTATCCTCCTATTCTCAAACAAGGAAGGGGAAAAGAGAGAGAGAGAAAAGCACAGAAGATAGCATGTTTTTTAAGTCACTACAATTCTAAATTGCAGAAAGTGTGAGAGAGGAACTTAGTCACCACATCTGTACCGCAGCTTATTCTCATGGATAGAAATATTTTACTTTACAAATTAAGCATGCTTTGTTTAAATTATCTGTGCTGAATATTTTAGATTATGTATTTAGCAGAATAAATTCCATTTTCATGTACTCCAGTACATTTTAGCTGGCAACATAGGTTCCTTCTTTCTTTCAATTTATGTTTTTAATATTAATCAGGTGTTTTAGTAATTCAGTGCAAAATGGCTTCCTTGTAGATTCCTTTGTACTTGGAACTACAAGCACTTAAAGCCAGCTCTGGGTTAGGTTAAACAAAGATGCATATAAATATACGAATATTTATGTATATAGATAGCTGAAGGGAGGGTGTCAAGAGGATGGGCCCAGACTCTTTCCAGTGGTGCCCAGCAACAGGATGAGATGGAATGGGCAGAAACTGAAGCATGGGAAGCTGCATCTGAAAATGAGAAAACCCTTCTGAACTGTGAGGGTGACAGCACTGGGACAAGTTGTCCAGAGAGCCTGTGGAGTCTCCTTCTCTGGACATATTCAACACCTGCCTGGATGTGTTCCTAAGAAGTGTCTCTGCTATGGAAGAAATCTTCCTCCAGATGTCAGAGGACACATGCAAGAACTTAAAGCACACAATTTATTTACACAAAAGCAGTATATACGTTATTAAGCACAAAGGGCCAGGAATAGGATCATCCAGACTGCCAGTCTGAAGAGATGGTGGCTTTTAGTAGCTGGCTATCTATTCCAAATCTGCTCTAAAAACAATAAATTATTATCCTGAAATACCTCAACCACTTCCATCTGTGAGGCTGAATGCCCAATCACTACCTGATTTTCCTATCCCTTACTGTTAGCTTCAATGATTTTCATCCATCTGCAGAAGATGACAACAATGAAAATTTAAGTGTCCAAAAAGGCAGGAAGAATGGTTCCAGAATAGATTTTCACTGGGCATTGGCTGTCACAACACAGCCACAAGGTATTTATTTAGGAAGAAATATACACATAACTCTTCCTGAAAACTTCACTCTCAGAAAAAGCATTTTCTTTAAAACAAGAGAGAAGCAGCAGACTGCTGTACTCCTGATGTATTCCAACTGCAGAGTTAGACCTTCTCAAATAATATGAGAATGTTTCAAAATGTATGTTCCATAAAACTCTATTGATCTGAAAGACTCAGTCTTGCGAGAAACATAAAAAGAATTATACATGTTTTAAGACATAAATCACTGTCTTAGGCTTTCAGGGAAACTTGGTTTTACTGAATAAAAAGAAAAGATATTCCATCATACAAAACAGACGTTACTTCATGCTGAAATTCTCCTTCTAGCTGGAAATGTTCCCCTAGATATCAAAAAAATGAATACCGGGTTGTACAGATGTCTTAAGTCAATGTCCAAAATGGTTATGAAAGTGACAGAAATACAGTAAATAGATGACACTGATAGAGACATAATTAGCATTGATTAGGTGTAGAAAGCAAGAGATGCTGAGTAAACAATAATTAAAAACAAACAAACAAACAAAAAACCAACAACCTCGTATTCTGCACAAGTTTGGTTTTGCTTCTGTTTTTCCAATTCCTTTGCAAAGCCAAGATATTTTTCACTCAGAGTCAAAGAAACCAGGACATTCTAACAAGAATAATGTATCTAAACAGAACACTCAGAGACCTGCGTAGAGGAAATAAGATGCTTCATAACCCTTCTTGGGAAGGGTTTTCTTGAGATCTGCAGCACTACAAGGAAAGAATGGAAATTCATGTATAACAAATCATTTCTCCTCAAAAGTCAGAAGTAACAAACTCAGATTCTGTATTCTGCCTCCACCACCACTTCCCTGGCAACAGGTAGATGCAGCTAGAAAATTGAAATGTACGAAAAGAAATAAATAATATAAAACCTTATCTTCCAAAAAGTAAGATGGACAGGGTTGAACCAGCTCTTATGAGTGAAAATGCAGTCAAGATCTGGTCTGAATTCACTTGACCATTATACTGAATCTTTGTAGATTCCTTTCATTGAAGTTAGGAAAGCCTCGTGTGTTTTTTTCTTCCTTTAGCTCCAACACATTTAGAAACAGTTTTATTTTCTTAGCTGTCTTGAAATCCAGTAATCAGCATGGATTACTACGGGTCTCAGTCTGCACGCAAAGAGATTGAAATCATAAGAATTAGCATATCCTGAACCAAAACCAGCCCTCACGAAGCATTCTCAGTGAGAGCCCCTAATGAAACAAGTTCCTCTCTCCTTCAGGGAGGCCTTCAATCAACTGAAACTATGGTAAATCACTCACAGATATCCCCCTGCTTGGAAGACCTTCACTAACGTTGCTTCAGCTGGTTCTTCCACGTAACACCGCCATACAAAATGTCAAGACTTAAGGAAAAGGCTTTACCTACCTCTTTACAGTGTATCTTGTACTTTTTCCATTTTGTAGGAGGGCACAAAAATCTCAAGAAGAATAAAACTTTTTTAATTGAACCATACCCAAAGTGGACTGATTTAACAATGTATGTGAGCATTACAAACAAGGAGAGAAAGTATCCTGCTCAAAATCTTTAGAACTATACCAGTAAGTAAGGGCTAGGTGGAAAGATAAAAGTTTGTACAAGTATGAAGTAATGCCAAACAGAAATTTAAAAAGAACATTGAACTAAATTTTTAACATCTTGAAAAGCAACTTTTTTGAAACAAAAAGCAGCTGAAGCCATTAATTCATCATGGGAGGAAGAAAAAGACATTCATTGAATTTCAAGTAGTTGATACTCTCCTAAACTTAAAGTATCCTTAGCTACTGGATCCAGTTGCTCAAACTCTAACACATACACACACACACTTTATGCATATATATATAACTCTTCTCCCTGTTGCCAGTTGCTGAGACACCTAAGACCATCAATCAATTGCAGAAGTTCTGTTACATTAACCAAAATTCCACTGGCAATGGAACCTGCCTTATTCCATCCCCAGATAATTTGGGGCTTATTTCCTTTTAGGAGACAGAAAGAGATGCAAAGGGTACTTGGCATTACTAGTATTTTTGTGCCTAAGTTCACCATCCAAAACCACAAAATACTAGGTAATAGAATTTCATGTAAAGATTAGACATAGAAACCTAGCTAACGTATAAATATCCAGTGCATTCACATTTTGAAATGCCCAAGGTTATAGACAGATGTATTAGACTATAGCTCATCACTGTCAGATCTATTAGACTACAGCATCACTGGACAAACTGATTCATGCAGAGAAATACTTAAGCTTGGGGATCCTTTATTTCTTTTACAAATAATTGAACAATTTTTGTTATATCTTTATAAGCAAAGCAACAAAGCCGTATCTATGCATACAGTTTGGGAGTTCTCACAGTTAAATCAATAGCAAATTACCACCTACAACAGTGCCCAAAGTTGAGAGAAAATACACACCACCACTGCTGATCTTACACACACTTCCACTGTTTGTATCCTTACCACAAACCTTTCATCTGCATTTTCAACCACAAGCAGCCACTAGAGCCCTTTCCGATTTGGGAGCATCAAACATTATCTCCAATGACAACATAATCAATACAACTATACCAACTGTAAGACTACAAGGGAGCAAAAAGTACAAAATCAAAAATGAACACCTTTATACCAGGTTAATGGGAAGGTTTTAAATGCCTGAATTTGTCACATTTCATTTTTACAAAGATCTTTTAATATGACCTTCATACAACTGCAATGTTTAAATAGAACAGCACGTGCCAAGACAAAGTTGAGGAGGTATCACTTAGTAGTTGAAATGTGATTTTTTTTTTTATATCACAGATTTATCTAAACAGAAAGGATTCCTTATTTAATATTGTTTCTCACGTGTTCCGCAGTAAAAATAAAAATAGTACTTCATGAAGAGTTAGCAAAATATTCTGTCAAATAAGTTTGATAAGTAAATAGAAAAATGTAGCAATATGGAGTTCTCATTTATCAAAATCCTCAGCTCTTTACTTACAGCAGAAATACATTAAACCATTTTCAACTGAGCTGAATCGTCTGTTGGTATTTTTTTGGTAACATTTTAACCGACAGATATTTTTACACACTATAAAAAGTTGCCCCCCCCCCCAAAAAAAAAAAAAAAAAGTACATAGAAGTAAAGCTATTACGTTCTTATTTGTAGCATGAGCTTTAATAAACGTCTGTAAGCAGAATTTCCATCTTAAAATATTCAGGAGACCAGTACTGCAATACTGAAAATGGAAAAAGCCTAAGAATGACCTGAACTCCTCCTGTCCAAAGGCAGGGGTGAGTACTGATTTACATTTAACAGCAATCTTTAAGAGAACATGTCACAAACAAAAGACCACGTCACAAATGAATATTCCAGCTGCTCACTTAGGGCACGTTCTTTGTGCTAAAAAAGAAAACATCTTTTAAAAGTAAAAGCAACACAAATGTTATACAAGTTTTACAACATCTAACACTGGAAACCCTTGTTTACTCATTTTTGTTTTTTTCCACCCATGTTTAGCAAACAAGTAATCTGATGCCCCTGGATACACACATCATCATCCAGTGCCTACGAAAATGAAGACTTTCCACTTAGGCTATGTAGTATCTCCATCCGAGAACAGATCAAGTAGCATGATTAAAATGCTGAATGATATCTAACCCCTAAAATATGTGATAATGATACAAACACACTTCTGTTCTTTCAGTCACAGAAGTTTAAAATGGTAATCTAATTACAATGCAAGGCTGACTGATTTTCTTAAACCAAAAAAATTCTTCAGCGAAGTTTCCTGAGCAGGAAGACAGCTCAGTAACAACATGTTAAATTGTGTTAGAGTAACCAACGGTTTGGAAGCCTCTAGCTACTGTTCAGTTTTCAAACCTGCTTTCAATGAAACCTACTTGCACGCTAATCTCAAAGTCAATTTGGCTGTGCCTGATTACAGTAGAGAACTAGATACGTATGATAAGAAAATGGTTTACTTAAATTGATATAATTTTTTACAGTGATTAGATAATCGTTTCCAGAATGTGTTGAGTTTTCAGCTATGTTTAATATGAAAACCAAAAAAATCTTAGCTTTCACAATTCTTTGAAAGCGTATGCTTCTGGCTTCTATTAATGCTTGAAACGAACTCCATTTCTAAAAAGTAAATTATATTTACTAAATGACAATGGTCTTTCTGTGGATCTACTAGAAAATCATCATAGTCTGTGCATATTTTATGTCTTATTACAAATACAGGCTATCCAAAATTAGGAAAAACACCTTACATTCCAACCAGACATTGTCTATGCTTGACCACTCATCTCTCTCTTATCACCCCAGAGTGAATTAGAAGAGTGATAACTAATTCACTGAAACAAGGGAGTAATGTATAATTAAAGAACTTAACATCAAGCCAAAGAAGGGGAAAAAGGCTAAATCTCAACAGTGCCACCTACAGTAGGGAACACGACGGGGAAAAAAGGAAAAAAAAAAAATCAGCATTCAGCTAGAAAAATTAATAAAGTGAGAACTTGATAAGACAGATATTGATTTAATTAAAAAACTGAGATCTAACAACATGATTACGTGTCATTAAGTTTCATACACCTTAAAATAAGTCACTGCCTAAAATGAAAGCATCTTCTTAAATCTAAAGAAATATACCATCAGTTTTACTATTTATAAACCTCCATTATATAAACGCATGAAATAACATACTTCTGATGCTCTAATTCCTTACTGGATTTTTTGTAAAGAGTAAAAAACAGCAGTAAGTGTCATTTGATAATAGGCAGAAAGAACAGCTGAAAGCTTACCTTGCATTCTACTACACTCTGATCCGATTCACATGTAACATAGATTTCATCAACTGCCCGTCTAAGATTGTCAAAAAGAAATGCCCAGTATCGAGCTCGCAGATCAACTTTTCGAGGCTGTCTTGTTTTTGTTGGGCTTTTGTCAAAGTTTTTATCTCCAGCTGCTGCAGTTAATTTACAGTCTATGGTAGTGTTCTAAAGAAACAAGATACAAAGGAAAAGGAGAACAAACAGAAGTACAGTAAGGGGTTGGGCTTCTGTGCAATGCATTTTTTCAAACATATTTAAACATTTGTAAAGATGACATTTTTCCACTGAAGACTACAGCATCCCACTGATTTAAGTTTTTACAATAAACTTTTTCATCTTAAACAAATGCAACCGGTATTTAGAACCAGTTGGTTTCTTTACCATTTTAACTCGACATTCACTTTGCACAATGCATGATATTCTCATTTGCAAATGATAAAGTTACGTTTTCTGACTACATACATACCCCGTAGTACTCAATGTGACAAATACGTACATCCAAAGATGAAACTAAAATTTTACTAATAATCAAACCAGCAATGTGTCATCGTAGTCAAATTACTACCAGGGCACCACATACAACTTAACTGTTTTTAAGCACTTGTTCTAATCTGTGAGCAGTAACATCAGAGAAATGCTTGTGTGGCTAGCCCTTTGCTTGATATGTTATGGCTACACTTCAGAGAAGATGCCAGCATCTTCTCTGACGCTTGAATCATCAAGAATGAGTTACAAAGGGAAGCTTTCCTACTCGAGAAGACTACTTGCACAAAGATTTCCACTCACCATACTGCTAACACTGCAAGCTCAATTCAACCTTTGCAAATGCTGTGCCACTGAATCAAGTTGTTTCTTATGCCAAGTCTGAAATTGTCCTTATGCTGCTCTAAGTTGTAATTTAACAGCTTTTCCTGCAACAAACCTGTTGTTTGATTTTCAGTGTTAATATGCAGGCTAATTGGTTTAGTACTACTTTGCTGCACAGATGCAGAGGACTGCCAACATGCTAAGTGCTGTGAGAGCGGAGGGAGAGCATCCAACTGTCTGCAGGAAAGCTGGCATAGAGAGGGATCACAAATACCTGCTTGGAAGTACCACTATGTCACTTCAGTGTTATGTATCCACTCACCTTGTGTCTTCAGCTTAGTCACATGAAGACAGCTACTCCTTGACGGATACGTGCTGTCACCCATCTACAAATTGTATTCCAAAGGATTCTGAAGCACGCCCATTTGGCTGAGAACACCAAAGCAGACCTTGGCCCCACGACACTGAGCTTATTATTGAAATTCTCCCATAACAACAAAAAAGGAAAGCTACCGTGCCAGAGAAGAACCTCCAGGAAACACAACATAAATCCCAATTGCGTACCATTTGTGATAGAGGTATTGTATTAACTACATAGCTACAGTAGTCTGCTTTTTGCCTTTGTGTGTGCAGGAAAAGATGCAAATAAAATTAGAACATCAGGGCAAATTTAACCCCTATTTATCATCTATAAAAGTAAACTGCAACTTAAGTCCAAGTTTCCCACATACCCAAAGCAGTGCTGTGGAGGTAGTCAGAAGACACAACGTAGTCACAGAAAGCTAAATAACTACAAAGAAAAAAATGAGAAAAGATTCCTGCCTCCTCCAGACTCAGTAAAATAGGCAGGGGATTATATTCACAAACCATTTCCTTCTCTAGTAGTTGTTCTAGTTTACTTTCCCAGATGGGAAGTACTTCGGTACTCCTGTTGCAAAACAAGTCTGAAGCAGTTCTAGTTTATGAGGTCGACCTCTGTGGTGGTTTTACTGTATGGGCTGCTGCAGGGAAAGTTAACATCCCAGCCAGACACAGTACAACCTGAAGTCCCACCACAGCAACCAGGACACTTATTTTTGCAAGATCTGACACCTCGCTGTGTTTCTACTAAAATACTGAAGGACAATGAGAACAGTAAGAACAGCTGAATCACAGAACATTCCACCGAACATCTGAGTCACTCCAAGTTCAGCCACGTATCAGAGAGTCAACTCTCCAACAAGAACTCAGAACAAGGCACATATTAACTCATTGGTAGATTATGCTTTTTCAGAAGCCGTGCCTCCAAATCCCCTGCAGGAGTAACTCTTCCCTAATTTGAAACAGGAGAACATATGCCAGCAGAACACCTTTGACAAGATACAAACCACCAAACTATAAAATGTCTTGTAAACACAATCGCGGAAGCAGGAAAGCACTGAGTTGGTGGTTAGGCAGTAGAAAGATTAATTAAAATTCCCGATGCATGTCAGTTCTAACATTATGCATCTGAATTTGTCACAGCCTGGCATCTGCCACTCAACGAAACAGAAGGGGACTTTGAGACAGGAACCCAAATCATGTCCATTTTTTGCCACATCAGTCTCCAGATCCTCCACGAAGATCAAACTCCAAAAGCTATTTTCAAACTTAACTAAGTTTGACTGGCACCTACTTTACTGAAATGCAAGCCATTGCTAACTCAAATTTAAGAGTTACAGCTGACAATAACAAAGACTACTTTTACCATAAAGACACAACTAGTATTTTATACGGACTGCATTAAACATTCTGTACAAATGTTTAATGCAGGCACCAAACACTACCAGGATTTCTGAGTTAATCTACACATTGTTCAGCAGAATCTTTACCTGCAAACATCCTTCTGAATGGACAGCTTATACAGACATGATCTAGCAGACCTACCCTGATGCTTGTCCTCACTAAGGCAACAAAACCCACTCAAAAATGGCACCGATTCTGACAGGCTAGTTCATACTATCCCACTTGCACTAATAGTTCAAAAGCTTCAACTGCAGAAAATGTATGCTGCCTTTTAAGTTAAAAAACATGGGGATAGTCTTCCTCACATCTCAAGTAACTCAATATGGATGAAGAAAGTGATTAAAACTAATTATTTTTTTTCCCAAAAATAATTTCACTATGTTGCCTTGAAGTTCTGTGAAGTATGAAGTGTGTATTTATTCTCGAGATGCCAAAATTTATTGAAAGTAGACGTGCCAGCACCCTGGTGAGAGGAAGATGAGGTTTACAGGATCATATGAGAGAGTTTTTGTACATTTATGTTCTTGAGCCTAGTGTCCCATTTGTATGTAGAGGAAAATGAAATCTGAAGGCTCAACAAAAGCAAAAATAGAAGAAGAAAGCCACCATTTTAAAGCACTATTTAGTGCCGAAAATACAGTAGAAAAAGAAGTGCTGGATGCCAAATTAAAGTGCCAAGATACACAAGCACGCAGCAGTCCATTTCAAACCTTAATTGGGCCCACTAGGAATGCATTATGTTCCTGCAATATAGCTTTAATACAGCAGTCCCACACAGAGCCACTGACTAACAATAAAGTATTCTTTTGAAAACACAGTATTGACGTAATCCGAAATGACTCAAACAGATGGAACTCCTGCTGCATAGCACATTACTCTTATCCAAAAGGTTCTGTGAGGGTAAATCAACTTGGAGCCCCAACCACCTCGTTAAAATACCACCTTCACAGAATAAGTAAACTAGGATACTAGTAAGATACTAGTAAGAAAGGAGGGACAAGTTGCTAAACTCATCTGCGAAGTTAACATGCCTATATCTTAGGGATGCAAACATCCCTACAGAAGCAGAACATCTTTTTTCAAAAAAAGAGACCAGCTTCTATGTGCTATATTGTCAAAATCTGAAAGGCTGGCTCAAAGTATTTGACAGCTGAAGACATACTAGCAGCTAAATCCATTAATCAAAGAAAAGTAATGGTTAAAATATTAAACACGAATAAATAACGAGGTATTACTTTATTAATATAATAAAATTCACATAGGAAAAACATGAAGAAGCGCCCTTTCTTCTTGATACTTGTCATTTAGACTCGTTTCTCAGTTGGGACTCTGAAACTTTACTCACCTGGACTGATTTTTTTCTTCCCAAAACAGTATGCACTAAAACTTTAAACAAAAACTTCTCAGCTGTTAACACATGAGAAAATAAAGCATTTCCTTAATTTCGGAAATTTGGCAGAATGGTAGCCTTTGTATAAGCACCACACTTACAGGAAGAATTAATTGATTGTTGAACCGCACTGGACTTAAAATAACTTTAATGTCAAAAAGCCACACATCCAGAGGCTAAGAAATGCCAAAAATAAAGACTGAGGAAGGCAGTGAAAATTCTGGCATTTTAAAACTTCGGAATGCTTGACTTTGCAACTCATATCCTTTGACAATACAGTATGTGCACTTTTGTATATGTATTATTCAGCAAATAATGTATCAAAAATCATTTTTATGTTGTAAATTTTATGTCATAATCACAATAAAAAATGAGCAGATACCTGTTTTGCAGTCTTGTGTGTTCCTTGAGTCACCCTCTTTGTTTTTCCGCCAGCTTGCCATTTGGATTTTCCTATGGGAGAAGCATTTTTCATCAAAAATAACGCTTTTCATTAGATACAGCATTCTAAAATGCACATATCACATCTTGTGATATACTGACATCGGCACAATTAATAAGTTTAAAAGTTCATAAAATTTTACATTCCAAATATATATTCAACAGTTCAGAATGAGGATGATGCTAGAAGACATACAGAAAATGAAAAAAATTGAGGAACTACAGACCTTATTCAACAAGGATAGCCTACTTGCAAATGCTCAGTGCCACTGAAAATCATATCACTACAACCGAGATGTCAGATATGACACCAGTTTTCTATATACATTTTTAAAAGTCTGCTCTTGAATGATTGTTTAATAATAATGAGATGTTATTACAGAATTAAAACAAGAGATATCTTTCTCAGAAAAGAAAAATAAAATCATTCACTTTTTCTGGAACTGTTCTAACAACCCTACCAGTAGATTAAGATATTTTCTGCCAAGAAAGATGGTGAAAAAACAGAACTCAGTTCTGGATTTAGTTCACTTACAGTTAGGTAGGCAAAAAAAGAGGGAAAAATAAATAAAAATATTTCCAAAGCATGAGACAGTCTACTCAAGATCTCTCAAATTTATTCTCAAAAGCACTTGTCTGTTGCTTATATGAAACGCACTTAACAACTATGCTTCCAAGATCAGTTTAAAAGCCCACAGTTAGGATGATTTCTCAATGTTGTCTGGGGCAATTTCTTAACTTATTAAGAGTTATCTTTGCAAGGCTCTAAATTTCTGTTCTCCTGAACCAACGTGACACACTTATATTTAATCTTTGATATCTGCTCAAGAGTAATTTCCAAATTTGTTTATTTTTTTTATTCCTCCAACATGAAAATCAGAGCATTTAATTAACAAAAATATAGTGTTTTGTCTTACTTGCTCATGACAAGAGTACTCTCTAGCACAGATCTAAATAAAAGTTTCAAGATAATTTAGCTTGATGAAGCCAGGCAAATGAATGAACTAATTGAATATAGTCCCTTCACAGATCACGGAGATCATTCCTGAATTTCAGAATTGTTCAGTTTTTAGCAGTACTTAGGCCAGATTCCCTAACATAGTCCAGCTGTTTTACATTGCGCTGGTTATGTAAAGCAGCTGTAAACCTGTTTTAATCAAGCAATTGTCCAGCTGGTTTGCATCACTGGCTGTTCTAGGGAACAAGGTCTTTAATTTTAAGGCAAATTAAAAATTATTTGCTTGATAATGAATTTTTGAATTGCTACATTAGTGAAAACAACAGGTACAAATTAATATATTGAGATCAATTTAGCATCATTCAGGAAAAAAAAAAAGATTCAGCTACCAAATGTATTAAAACTTCTTATCAACTAAAAAGCTTAAACCGTGGACAAATTCTATGTCATGGTTATGCTAACTGAAGAATTTCAAGCACGTAAGTCTCTACTCTGAAATAATTTACATTCTGAAAAATGTAAGAGCTGCAATGCTTACATTTGAGTGCAAAGGCACACAGAACTTGCAGTGAAAAGACTTACAAACAAATACAGGTGTGTTAGAATTAAGATGACAGATGGATAAAAAAGAGAGTTACTGTCCCTAGATTCTACCAAAAAAAAAAATAAATAAATATAAATCCATCATCTACAAACTGGGAAATGTCTGAACAAGTCACCTGTAAAGATAAAAGCAAGTTTTCAGGCACCTTCTGTGTAAGGCATACATGTAGGGACAAGAAAACTCACATAAACACTGTGTGTTGTGGACTTGAAAGCAAATAATATGTGGCAAGGACTAATTTTTCTTCAACAATTAACAAAATAAACAAATAAACAATTTCTTCAAGGTACGGGCCAAGAAGTTCTGTCTCTCATCAGCAATTAGAGTTCCAAGCTTTTCCCTCTTTCTGCTAACAAATGCCTCTGGTTATTAGAAGATTACTTCCTTTCTGCTTTTGTCCCTCTATATTCACAAGCAGTGACGACAGAAGCAATGTTCAATGGTTATGGATATACTGTGTGTAACTGTACAGTACCAGCACTGCTAGCCAAGGCACAGGGACGCAGCAACATGTGAAGGGCATTACATATTAGGCTTTTACTGAATTTTAAGGAAAGAACAATAGCGACAAAAGCTGATCATCTCATTAGCTATTAAGTTGCCAATATGAAATATATAAAGCAGCACAGTTTTGGAGCATTCAGGGAGCCAGTCGTATTTTATACTTGAAGTCCATTTCCTCTGTCTGGTAATTAAATATCAGACACACCGGGTTTATGATTTGTGAAGACTTCCTGTCACAAAATGCTGAACTGTTAATATCTCCCAAAAAAGGCTACCGATAAACTATTTTCAAAAGCCTTCTGTTACACTAACAATCACCCCTCACATCTCTGTTCTTTTTTGATGAGAGAAGTGTGAAAATCAGCTTTATATTTCTTAAGAGCTGCAGCCATCTCTGTTCTGAGACAGACATCTCTGTTGTTTCACTACCTTTGTTTATTATCTGATCTTCAACAGAAATTATAAAAATTTTCAATTTTCTTTCTTTTCACCTCTCTGGAAAAATCTGAGGACACAACCGGGTGATGAACCATTCTTTTCTTTCCCTCCAGTTCATACACATGGCACAAGCGATGTACTTTGTCACCTCTCTTCCTCCATCTAAGGAGCAAGGTCTATACTGCAGGACTAGTCCTACATTTCACTGAACTGTACTCCACAATCTCTCTTACTAGCTCCAGCTGATGCATTTTTCCATCCTGAGAAACATTTTTGCAAAGATGAGGCATGGATAAGACCTGGTTGTCTGAAGTTCACTTCAAGTAAGACAAAGATGTTTCCCTGGAGGAAGCAACTGGATGATACTGATTACATTCAACCCCTTAACTGAAAAAACATACTGAAATGCATAATATTGCTATAAATCAGTTCTTAAAAGTTTATATAGTAGTAAATACAATTTTTCTAACCGTACAATGCAAAAGAACTGGAGAAACTACTTTCAAGGATGGATATAGTTAAAACTCTCCATGTTTTTCCATCCCAGCCTGAGTTACAGCAATGAATTTTGTATGGAATTTTTTTAAAACAAATTACTGTCACAGTCTCAACCAGAACATAATTGGCTCAGTATTCATGGAGCAGCACGAGACTGTATCCCATTCATTTCAACAAAGTTCAAGGTCTGAAACTAAGGCGTCTTCAAGAATACCTTTCCCTTCACATTATATTCTGCCAGTTACAGTCAGATCCAACGTTGCTAGCGCTTACACACAAGGCTTTCAGTCATGACTCGTAGACCTCCTAGCTTGGCCAAAGAGAGCCAAGCTTCGTCTTTTTCATCACACACTGCAAAACCTACTTATTGCACCAGGCTCTTGCTAAAGGAGTGGATTATTCTGCAGGCTCTCTAAAGTGTGCCAGGTATCTTTCAACCAATAAAATGTGTTTCCTTACACTGAAACACTTAATCTACAAGCGATTCCTACATGTTGAGAGCCAAAATGATTTTAAACAATTAAGGGAACAGTTACAAATACAAGATTTTCCAGTTTTTGACACATCCCTTAAGTTATAAAGGTACCCTACATTTTGTTAACGTTTAGATGTCAAGCTTCTGAGACATTTTAACTGTCACTAATACCATGGTTTAGATTTTGTAAATAAAATCTGTGTGTGGTGCATAGCAGCACACAGCACCTCAAGTTTCATGCTGGGCATATCAAATAATTTAAAAGGAAAAGCTTCTGAAGTCCTCTACCAGAATGATCACAGCTTTCCGAAGAGGGTAAGATACAACAGGTGCCTGTAATGGGCGATTTGTGGCCATGGATTTGGAAGGCCAATTTTAATTTTCGAGACAGAATATCATACTACTTGATTTTTTTCACAATTCTACTAGCACACAAAGTCAACTGCATTGTTAGTCCATCCAAAAACACAATCTGCTGCAGATTGATGAATTCTGTGAAGGAATACCTGAAACACAACAGATGAAACGTGTTATTGTTCAATACCTCATCTAAACTGTTGTCATCATGTTTTGAGGTGGATTTTCTCATGTCATCGATCTGTATTCATAACTAGAATTTCAGATCTGATACAAGGGTGCATGCTGCTCCAACACACGTTACTGAAGTGCTACCTACTGTTCCAGAAACTTCCCTCCTTCTTATGGTATTATTTCTTATTGACAGGAATTAAGTATTTCCCTTAAGGAATTAGAAGGTTTGGATTGCAATTCCTGTCATCATTGCCCTCTTATCCATGTAAAATGCTGAAGTCTTTCAGTGAGAAAGTTAAACAGCAAGAACACAAGCAAATAAAGAAATCAAAAAAGCAAGGATACACAAACAGAACAAATGAATCCAGCATTTTAAATTTAATAAGCGTGTGTAACACTAACATTAGCAAATGGCCATATCTTCACTGTTTCTGCAGAAAAAAAAATCATCCCATAATTAGTAACAATATGTAATATAAAATGTTAAATCTCACACTATTTCTGCCAGTGCAGTATCTCTGACCACTACCAGCAGGAAAAAAAACAAAACAAAACAAAAAACAACAACAACAACAACAACAACAAAAACTCTAAGACAAAATTCTGCTTTGCATTTAAGTTGCAGGATCGGCTGAGGCTACCTGAACCTTTGGCCTGATTTACACAGCCCTTGAATGAGTACGAACTGTCCTAATTCATAATATTGATGTATTGTTCCTCTGGGACAAAATACATATTGAAAGATCAGCATAAAATGAATCAGAGCTCACTGACACCAACATATGTGCCAAGACAAGGGTCAAGAGATAAAGGATCTGGCTCTGCCAGACTCTCATTAGCCACAAGTTCCTTTCCACAGGGCATTTTTCCATCAAGCAATTATCACCACATTCCTTGTGCAAAAAGCTCAATATATGATTTACTGAAGAAATTTTAAAAACAAGAAAGCATCACTGGCAAAAAGTTTAAAAATTACAGTGGTGCTAGTAGGCTCAGAAGAAGGAAATGATTATAGCTACTTGAGTTTTAATGCCACATACAACTATTTAAGGGCAATATCTAAAAAAAATAAATCACTTCTACTTTCCTCATGCTGTGGAAGAAAATGTTATACTCAGAGCAAACATTCTTCTATAATTCTCATTTACCAATTTTTCAGGAAGAAGTCTTCCTTGAAACTATCTACAAGAATAGCACAAGCAAGGTAAAAAATGTAACAGACTAAACAAAAATTGAACTAACTCACAAATAGCTCAAAACATACTCTGTGTTCCTTTCACCTCTACTCATTCACACTGCTACCTTCCCCAAAAGTAAAACGTACTATAAATCAGAATCTGTAAATACTTTAGGGCCCAATTCTACTCTGCTTAAATGAATCACAGAATCACCCTAGGTTGGAAGAGCCCTCCAAGATCACCTAGTCCAACCTCTGACCTAACACTAACAAGTCCCCCTCCACTAAGCCATATTGCTAAGCTCTACATCTAAACGTCTTTTAAAGACCTCCAGGGATGGTGACTCCACCACTTCCCTGGGCAGCCCATTCCAATGCCTAACAGCCCTTTCAGTAAAGAAGTTCTTCCTAATATCCTACCTAAACCTCCACTGGTGCAACTTTAGCCCATTCCTCTCCCACCCCCCAAAAAAGAAGCACTGACACAACCCCTGAGAATTGGCAAGAGCTGTTTATTGCTGGGACATCTTGCAGGCAAACCTGCGGGATGTCTGTGGTGTTTGGTAGCTCCAAGCTAATGCTTGTGATGGAGCCTGAGCAATGAGTAGGGGGCTCGCTGGGCACTCCTGCGATGCTGCTGGTGCTCTCGGATGGCAGAGCACAAAGACGTGCCGCAGTAGCCCCAGGTCTCTTCTGGCTGAGGTGGACCTACTTCCATCCCTTCTTCCACATCTGGTGGATCCAGCTCCATGGGCTCTGTGGTGTTGGGCAGAAGGCTAAGCCAGTCCTTGCCCGGGACTGCCCAGACAGGATGCCTTCCGTCCGGAATGTTCTAAGGCCACGGGGCCAAACCAGGGGATCGCCCAGTCCCACGCCTCGGACCCATGCCACCGTCGAGTTGATTTTCATGCATGGGTCTGATGGTGCTGTCTGGTTTACAGCCAGTGCTGGGTCCCGCACCAGGCTCCAGACCATGGGCACGCCTCTGCTCCCCACGGCTGTCTGTCTCATGCTCCCACCTTCACCCCACGTCACTGTTGCTCCTGTGGTAAGGCCCAGGCCCCCTGTCGCTGAGTGTCTGAGGGCCAGCCTGTTGCCCGCATCATTGTGGTGCCACTGGTACCTCCTGTACCTGTCTGTAGGCTGGATGCCAGAGGTCCCTCGGGCACTGGTGTCTCTTGTGACATCGGTGCTATCCCTGTGCCCATGACACCTCTCCTTCTGCTCAGGTGCGTTCCTTCTTGGTGCTTCACTGGACAGCATGGCTGTCCTCGCACACCAAGAGACCTGCTGCTTGCCTGGCTCTCCTGGTCTCCTTCCTGCCACACGAGCTGGCAGTCAGAGGGCTGAGATGCTCAGCGAGTGGTGGGCCAGCTGCAGTGGGCCTGTTCCATAGGGCCCACAGCAAAGGCGGGGCAGTGGTGGCCACTGCGACCTCAGTGAGCCTCTGCGATGGAGCGGCCCACGCGTGGCCAAACGCGGCTGTGTTGGGAGCGGTCTGGAAGATGCCCTCATGTGGACAAGGAGGAGGTTGGGGGGGCTGAGGGCTCCTTTTCTGGGGCTGGCTCCCCTGGGCCATTTGGCTTGCCAGAGAGAAAGGCTGCCCCTCAGCCGTGGGGACTGCCCTGCACCTCCCATCCTGTGCCCTGGTTCCAATAATACCAACATACTCGAGAATGTGTAGGCAGTTTTAAGACGAGTAAATAAATAAATTCATCTTCTGGAGACTGCTACACGTGATCCAAATCTGTGTTCTACTGTGTGTGTTTTGCTTTGGCAGATTATGGTTAAATCTTAAACTGTTTCTCCTATTGTGTCACATCTTTCTATCTTACCTAAAAAGAAACCATGGCAGCTTCATTGGTTCTGCTTGATCAAGAAACCCATCATACACTTCTTGACAACTGGATGTTGTTTCATTTTTTCTTCCTACGTAAAGCTAGGAAAGATGCACAGTGCATGTTTCTCTGCTGACCAGCTAGTGCTTACTAGAAGTTTCACTCTACAACAGCCCTGAGGCCATCTGCTTTGGAAAGGCAATCCAAGGCACTTGGTAACTGGGACCATGCTGAAGTTTACTTCAGGATCAGAACCCGAAACCAAAGCTTGTAAATGCGGATACTTGTGATTAGGTTTATAATGTTTAGTTGATAAATACATGCTTACTATCATCCTACTTGTCACTGTTAACAGAGGTACAGCTCTGCATTCTCAGCTGAACACAATTTCCTTGATGAAACCCATACAGATGCCCACACACAGACAGCTGAACAGGTTTTCATGAACTTCATTCTCTCATGTGACTTCAGACCTTTCAGCTTTAAAAGGAAGGGAAAAAAAATCACAAGTACACCTCCGAGCATAAAGCAAGCCACAAAGACATTTTAAACTTCGCTTTGGTTTGCTGCAGACAGAAGGTTAATTACTTTGTAACACAGGCATAACTGATCCTAGAAATATTTTTTCCACTGGCCAAGTCACAGAATAGCTGAGGTTGGAATGAACCTCTGGAGAGCACCTAATCCAACCTCCCTGCTCAAAGCAGGGTCAGCTACAGAAGGCTTCCCAGGACTACATCCAGTAAGGTTTAGAGCATCTTCAAAGATGAAAGTTGCCCACAGATTCATCGGGGAACTTATTCTGGTGTTCAACCACCCTCACAGAAAAACAAAAACAAGCCCCACCACTTTTAGACACTCCTGCCCAAGTCTCAAAAGCAGCAGCACCCCCACAGGGACAGGTGAGCTACAAAAGAAATTGAGATGAGGGCCTCAAAAACAGCTTTCTGACATCTGGAACAGCTTGAGCAGTATGAAAATCCAAAGTCAATTCCTGTCTGCTTAAGCCATCAGGCCATGAGAGAATACTACAACAGTAACAAAATTGTTCTGAGGACTCACATTACAGAAAGCTGTCCCCAAATATTCCCTTTCTTAAAGGCTCTTCACAGATGTTAAACAGAGACTGAAGTGATAGTAAAAGAAACGACTGAAGTTATTTGATTTAGAGCACAGAGAGCAATTTGTTGGATTGCTCTAAGCCATTCCTACCAATCTGAAACCCCAAGTTACCCAAGACTGGCTTTTAATAACCTTTTCCAAGCCCAGTATTTTAAGATAACATTATTATATTACATAGGTATCTTGATAGTATCAGCAAGACAGGACAGTCTTAGATGTCTGTTACAGAAAAATAAAGAGTTTATCTGTTACTGAACAGGTTTTATAGTGAACTGTCAACCGCAGGGTATACATTTAAAAAAAATAAATTAAAACTATGCTATGGACATGAAGCATAACCTTTTGTTTAAAATGCAAAATCCTACATCAGAAACATGTTTCCATGCAAGCAACTCCAATGAACAAAGGGACAGGAGATAAAAAAAGTTGGGGGAAGACAGTTGAATACTTACCATCATCATCTTTGTTTTCCAGTGGAACACTCCATGCGATTAGGTTCCTTGCTGTACGTCCCTCTTCTGCAACTATTTTCCTCACTTTATCATGGCTATTAGAGCGCTGGAAAGAAGCCTGAAAACAAGAAATACAGGAACAGAAAATGTGTGTGTATGTATATGTATACAGGTACAAATTTTTGTTTTGGTATGTTAATTTCATCCAGTATGTGGTTAAACCATTCAAAGGGAGTTTGCAGATAACTTATTTTCACCAATTGTTCAAAATGTACTTGTTTTCACAACCGTTTTTCTATCTGATAAGCAGACTGATTCATCAAAATGACATGAGTTCCTACCCCATTGCTTGGAATGGGTGTCTACGCCACACTTTTTTTTTTTTAAGCTCCTTTTAACTCATCATCAATTCCATAAGAATATCACAGCAGACTTTAAAATGCTTTATTTACCTTGAGTTAAATAGAACTAATTAATCTAGAAAAAAGCTACATAGTACCAAATACATGTGCTAGATGACTGAAAAGAGCCTGAAGACAGACATAGGATTTATCAGAACCATCTAAAATAAAATAAAATAAAATAAAATACACTTCTGTTTCAGAGAAGACAAGAACCTAGAAAGTATTTCCTGGCAACTACAGTCAGCTGTTTTTACTAGAAAGCTGCAACGATTCACAGAAAATGAGAGGCGCTGAGGATGAACTTCGCTTACCTAGGAAACACGTTCTTTGCACTTGAAAAAGATACCATCACAAGATCCTTGAAACCAAACATGTTAAGAAATATTTGTATCAGCTGACAGATACCAACTAGACAAAATCTTGCCTCTTCTAGACTGCAAGTTATTCCTCAGAAATTAAACTGAAACAAAGCCAAGCTATATACCATAATGTGAAGTCTATACACAGCGATAGCACAAAGCCACTGAGCAAGGTATCTTTAACCCTGACAAACTTACATAGATCTGAACGTTGTTTTACACACTAATGGACTGATTTTATTCTAGTCAGAAGACGCATTCCTCTTTTCACTCTTACCATCATATGACTCAAGCCTGCAAGCACTTTGTTATGCACGTGCACTAGCACATCTTTGAAAGAAAATGCCGTAAAAATGAATATAGCAGATGAGTAGTTATAATTTATCAGGATGGTAGAAAATGCAATAGAAACAAAAAGCTACTTTTACTTGAATGCTTATATAGCAACGTTAGGCTAAGTTTCTCTCATTCATATGCCCTCAATTGCTCCTTTCAAAGCTGCAGTGTGCCACCTAGTGCCCCACTGAGCCACCTTGAGTTATTACTATGTAATAATAGAAAAAACACAGCAGAACTATTAAGTGGACTTTTGAAAAAGGTGATGAATAAAAAAGCAAATTTTATGGTTTGATCCAAAGAAACTCAAGCAAAGCACATGAATAAACCAGATCTACACTACATTGGTTCTAGTCTATTCTTGTTCTATCTAATTGTCTGTTCTCACTAGGAAATTTTAGTAAGTGACCATTTCTTTGAATCATGTTTGTTTGGGGTTTTTATTCCCTTGTTGCTTAACAAGAAACTTTTCATCATCAGAGAGTTAAAGACTCACAAATGTCACTTAACTGTTTTAAAATCAGCTTAACTACTGTATAAATCCCTGATATAAATACCTATGGTACCTTCACAACTGAGTCAAACAATTTTGATTTTTCTTAACGTCTCTGAAATGCACAAATGTCTTAAAACAAAATAAGAATGTTCACCTGCATTTTGCATTAATTTATCCTCAACTAAGAAAAAAATCACTCTCCTTACCTGGAAGTAGAGATAATATAGCATCCTGCTGCCAAAAATGGAGTAAATATACATATAAATCTTTCCTCATTTACTGGATCTTTTGAATCCTCCACCAGCAGGCAACATTCACTCTGCATGATCTCTACAGCTTTCCTACATAAAACTACTCATTCTTGACACACACAGGGAATTTGAAACCATTTGAATTTTCTCTTCTTCCCCATTATTTTTACAGTTATTTTCCATTCCATTCTCCATCGGTCCTCCCATCTTCCAAGCTTATTACTTCTACCCCTTTAGTTTTCTTTCACACATTTTCCGCATCTCAGACTTCAAGTTTTCTGAATCTGAGCGCCTAGGGTTTTGTTTTCAAGACTGTCTCTAACAGATTCACATCTTTCTTTGAGACACTATGTCCAAAAGCAGATACTAGTACTTCAGTGAGGACTTTTTCAGTACTAAAAACTGTGCATAGATTATTCACATCTTACAGATGGTACTCCCATTTCAACATCTCAAAATGACATTTTTTTATTTTTGCCATATATTATCTTTTCATTACTTATGATATAATAACAACAGGTACGTATAGCATACCAGTACAGTAGCTGAATGACTTACCATCATGTTATAGCCTTCCTCCATGTCAACGGGCTCATTTATTACGTTTTTGGATGACCCCATTGAGTTTTCATATCTGTGTCAAAATAAATGCAGTTGATCAATTTTACTTAAACCATCTATGAAATTAATTTTAGCTTCTTAGCAGCATCTATGTCAAGGACATCTAACGAACATTTCAACATTTTCAGAGGACAGTTATTATAGAGTATTTGCATAACTCCTTAATAAAAACAGCCCAAGAAGAAATCAGAACAGAACGGTCCCATAGAAAAAATATATGCACATGTAGTAAGATAGTAAACAGTACAATTAATTTTATGGGGCTCCAAAACAAATCACTGCACAGACTGCTAAAGAATAGTGGAAGGCAACAATGATCTTTCCTGTGACAGAGGACTGAGCAAACTATTTATAGGTTCAAAAAGAAAAGTGAATCAGAGATACTAAAAATTCATAACAGATAATTAGCAGTGAAGCAAAGTAAACCCAAAAACTTCTGTTCTCAAAAAAAAAGAAAAAAAAAGTGACGGTTCCTATGTAAGTTAATTATGATCAAGTAAATAATTTTAATCCAGTATTGAACTAGGGAACCACTGCCAAAAATGGAGAAGTACACTGGATTAAATGTTTATAGGTTTATCACAAAAATCCACAATTGCTGTAACAATGCTAAAATAAAACTAAATCCTTGGCTTCAGGGTGGAAATAAATCCCAGCCAGCTTCTGATTAGAGCAAAAACTCTCCTGCAACAGTCCTTACATATTTTTAACATTCAGATGCTAAACAGAAGTTAAAAGCACTTCTGAAGTTCCAAAAATTAGATCAGAAAACAAGATTAACGTTTTGCCAGATCCCAGGGGAGATTTTGTTATTGGTTATTATTGGTACTGCCCTAACCGGGATGTTCGCTTGCTCTCAGATTACAGCTACCACCCCACATGTTGCTGAGTTTTCTGAAAAGCCAACAGCCAAAACCCATGCCCACAAACAGCCAGCTGTTACGGTTTGCACTTGTTTGCATGCCTTAGGACAACCTCCTGAGCCTAAGAAAAAACACTGAAATAATCCACACTTGGTTGAAGGAAGCTGAGTTCTTGAAAACAAGGTCCCGCTGTATTTCAGCATTACTTAGGGCATGAGAAGCAAAAGGAGCCTTCAGCCCCGAGCCGTCTCAGCAAGCCGCTTGTGACCACCCCGCTTCGCTCGATTATAATCGGGGTGTAATAAAAGCTGGCACAGCGAGGTGCGTATTGAAGGGGAAAAGTCGGGCCCCACACAAACTTCCCGGGAGTGCAGGACACAGGGATCTGTTAGAAGGAAGGTGCGCAGAGAGGGGAGAAGCTGCCAGCCGGCGCGCTGCAGGTTTACTGGCACATCAGGCTGCGCAGCGGGGCTTTCCCTCAGCCTGAGGAAACACCCGGCCCGCCTGGGGCCCCCCCTCAGCCCGGGCAGCCCCCGGGCCTCCCCTCAGGCCGCAGCCCGGGGCAGGGGCCGGGCCCCTCGCCGCAGGGCCTGGGCGCTCCCCTCAGCGCGGCGCCCCCCGGGCCGGGCCGGGCCGGGCTGCCTCAGGCCGGCCGCCCCCTCAGGGGCTCCGTGGTTGCCTGTAGCAACAGGCCCCGGGGGGGGGGGGGGGGGGGGGGGGGGGGGGGGCTGGCCCGCCGCCATCTTGCCCCGCCGCCGCGCCCCTCCCCGGCCCGGCCGCGCGCTGGGGCACTCACGCTCTCCGCCGCGCCGCGCCGTCCCGCCGCGGTGACGTCATCGCCGCCCGCCGCCTGGCCGCCCGCCCGCCCGCCGCCCTGCGCGGCCCGGGCCCCCCCCCCCGCAGACAGACACACGCACACCCCGCTGCTGCCGCCCGCGCATGCGCCGTTCGCGCCGGTGAAGGCATTGCCCGCACCTGGCTGCCCGCACCTGGCTGCCCTCAGCCCGTCAGGGAGCGCCGAGGGGCGGCGGTGCCTCCAGCTCCTCCTGGGGGACCAGGAGGCGGGCACAAACTTGCGGGCACTAATAAATAATTATGTACATACCCTGCGCGTATAGGCGCCCAGCGAGATTGTGCCCTGGGGTTTGGCACTGCTGGGGCACTGGGCTTGAAGCCGGGGCCTGGGCAAGCGGTGAGGAAACGTTGGGCAAGGGCACTGCTTAGCCAAAAGGGAAGGCAAACGGGGAGCGGTAGGAGTGCCCAACGTGTAAAAGTATGGTTGGGAATGATCCGTTTCCTAGGGGATAGCAACGATAAGTAAGAGGCTGAAATTCTACCCGGGATGATTCCGGTTTCCATTTGTAAAACAGTAAACCTGTAAAACTGTAAAACCAAGCATTGGTATGGGTTGCACGGGAAATCACACGTGCCTCAGCTGCTGTCACAAATAGCACAACCACCTCTCAGGAATGACGCACGTAACTCTGGTCCTGTGCTCAGAGCTGAGCCAGATGGCCTCTGGAGGTCCCAGCCCAGCCCTGACGCTGTCCTTCAATAACAAGCTCATTTATTGTGCCCGGGCAGCTGTCTGAGTGTCCCCAGCTGCCTCTTTGGGCTCCTGTAGCTGAGCTCAGCACCATGGTACAGGGCTTCAGAAGCCTGTGACAAATCCTGGTACCCTGATTTGATGCCAAATCAGATACTGCATCAGAAGTGTCCTTTCATAACCTATTTCTTCACATATTTATAACTGCGCTAAGTGCAAAGAAGTAGAAAAATAGGTCTGTAAAGTCTGCAGAGTCTAAAATACTTCAGGATAATTTGTGAAGGAGTTATTAATAATTAGAATGCTCACAATGTTGTATTTGGGTACTACTAAAGCAAATGATGGCCATTTTGAAATCCAAGCACATGGCACTTAAACACAATTGTCTTTAAATTGTTGCTCAGGTTGGTTTTTCCCTTACCTAAATTCACCTGTTGAAAGCCAGCAACTTTTAAAATGGAAGATGGAGGGATAATCTCTGCATGCAGCTCTTAGATACTCTTCACCATCTTACATACAGCTTATAATGTTTACCTGTGATGAAAACAAAATTAGGATATGTCAAAATTGAAAACTGTCTAAATTCACTACTGTGGATACACTTACTCTGAAAGAATATAAATGACTTGCATTAAAGAAAATCACAGCTCATACAAGTTGAGTAGTGCTTTATAAAATTAAAATGTAGAAGTGTAAAAAAAAATGTAGTGAACATGAGGCAGATAGCTTCACCTGCAGGAAACAGCTGTTAAGGAATGGCACTTTCCATTTCTGGACAACTGCTCTCATGCTGACAGTTTAAGAGGAACAGATTTATATTTGCTGATGTTTTAGAGAAGTGGTATCATGGCTTCAGTCAAGTCATTAGAAGGAGGCACAAATGAGCCAATGTATTGGAAATCTGTGTTGAATGTGATCTTCTAACATTAATTCGTTTGTGATTGAAAAAGTAGCTCCAAACAGATTTGTGAAAGACTGTATGCAATTTGGCTAGAGGAGAGATTTGTCAGAAAAGTCAGAAAGTTCAGCACATAAAAAGCTTTTTGTATGACATGACTTGCATTCTGTTTTTAAAATAGCATCACTAATACTCGCTTTTTATTTGCAAGTTACAATAGCAATGCATTTGCTATGTACTTGGTTAAAAATATCGAGAGAATGTAAGGCCCTCTTTCATTTTCTTACATCCTTACCAGAACAATCTCGAATTTATGATATGACTGGGTAGCTGAGTGCTAGGAAGTGTCTGGACTGCATTTTGACACAGGCAAACTACGGAGTGAAGAATATGATTTTCTATGCTGTCCTTCTTGCTGAACTTCAGCAAGTGGTGGTTGGGTGTTGGTTTTGTTTTTTGTTTGTTTGTTTGTTTGTTTGGCTAGTTGGTTTTGCTTGCTATATTATTCCAGCTATTCTTATTCCCTGCTGCTATCTTCAGTCATCTTGGCATGTGAACATATTGTTAATAAACTAATAAACTTGCTCTGTGGAGGCTATTACAGCTGTTTAGGCACAGATATGTATAATCTGATATGTATAATCTAATCTGTATAATCTTTCAAGCCTTGAGATATGCAATAAAGAATTTATCTGGAGTGTTAGTAATGCACTGAACAAAGAAGACAAAGTATCTTCAGTACTATTTTTGGAAATCAACCAAATCTTATTTTTGTTTTGATTGCTTATACGATTTGCTTTATCTACACAAACCACAAGCAGCCTGACTTCGCTCACACTTTGTATATATGATTTCCATAAATACTGACAGGAAATTTGACATCTAAACCAATAAAGCATATTAGACTTAAGTCACTATTATTTATTTATTTATTTTAAATGGAGAGACATTTCTTATACGGTCAGGAAATTGCAGTAACACATTTACTGATTTATTACAATATTGTAGTCTCACATCTCCCAAATGAAGTGTCTTAGCTCTTTGCAGTTAATAGAATTTGAGGTTAACCAGGGAGCAGTACATCGCCGTCATCACCGAGGATGAGGGACAGTACACCAGACAAAGCCCCATTAATTGAGGGCTCTACGTGAACACCTTAACATCTCCCTTTCTGGAATTCCAGATAAGCTGGTATCACTTCTTTCTGTTTGAAAGAGGACTTCCAGAAATAGACTAATCTTGAAAGGAGAAGTAACAAATCCAACACCAACCTTATGCAAATCTCAATTAAACCACTGAGAGTGATTAATTTGACCTCAGTGGGCTCTGGATCTGAGCAAGCCCAATTTCATGTGACATCTCTCAGTTACAACGTTCCTGCAGAGCCCCCCTGATCATTTACTGGACATAATTTTAGTTTGCCTGAGTGGTAAATGAGCTTCAATTTATTTTACAGCTTTTCTTTCTATTACCTGTGCCGAACAGTTATGACCATCTGTATTGATCCACCTTGCTAACCCATTTATAACGCACTTTTCCCTTTGTGCTGTGTGACGGTCAGCTCAGGCCCACACCAGGAGCAAGCCTTCCCCCTCTCTGAGAGCAAACCTCCACGCTGCCGGCTTCTCGATGACCTTCACTGCGGCACGGCTGGCTTAAAACAGCCCCGAGCTCTGACAAAACTCACCCCGGCCTGCCAGGCTTGGCTGATGCCTGAGCCGAACCACTTTCTGGAAGTGAGAAACCGCCGACCTATGCTGACAGCACTTGGTACCTTCCGCTGCCGCGGCACGGCACGCCTGGGCGGCAGAGGCAGGACCAAACTTCGCGGCCCCGGCCCCGCGACGTGCCCGACCCCTCAGCCGGCACCGCGCCTCGCCTCGCCCCGGGGCCGGCCGCTCCCAGCCCGGCCCGGCCCCCAGCCGGGGGCAGGCGGCGCCCCGGAGCCCCCCGCGGCCCCTTCCCTTCCTTTCCCCTTTCCCCGCCCCTCGCCGCGGGTCCCCTCGGCGGCGGGCGCGATGCGGCGGCGGCCGCTGCTGGCGCTGGGCCTGGCCCTGTGGGCGCTGGGCGCGGCGCTCGGCCAGCACCGCGCCGACTACGACCGGGAGGCGCTGCTCGGAGGGCAGGTGGGCGGCGGGCAGGGGGCGGCGGGCGGCGGCCGGGGCCGGGGCCGGGGCGGCCTCGGCGGCGGCTTCACGGCGGTTCCCTCGCCCGCAGGAGGAGGCGGAGGAGTACGCGCGGCTCAGCCCGGAAGAGCAGCAGCGGCGGCTGCGGGCCATCGTCAGGAGGATCGATGCGGACGGCGACGGGCTGCTCAGCAAGGGTAGGGCGGGGGGCTGCGGGCTGCGGGGAGGGGGTCGTGTCCGGGCGGTGGGCCCGGCGCTGGGCCTCGCGGCAGGCAGCGGGACCTCTCCGCAAAGGGAATCGCCTCGAGAAGTGTGTCAGAAATGCCGGGAAAAAAAAAAAAAAAAAAAAAAAAAAAGGGATATTTCAGTCCCCAAGGATTGTGTTTCCCATGACACAAGCGGTGAGGGCCATGGAAAGCAGGCAGGAGAGCCCTTCCCACCTTCCACAGCAGCAGTTTTGTAGCTGCACCTCTCCCTCGCCTCTGAAACCCCCTGGAATCAAGTGCTTTTTGAAATCCTTTTTGTACAACTCACAGAGCAAGGAAGAGGTGAAGAAGGTACCTGCAGACATAACATTGAATGCATACGCTTGAACAGCT